CAGAAAGTCCAATTCATTTAACCGCTATTGTTTTCAGTTAATTCATTTAAACGCAGTGGTACAGTATTGCATTTGGAAACGATGCTACGTAACTGTTTATTACTGCATAAAAACGTATCATTGTAAGGAATAATTCAAAGCAAATCACCTTACCTGATCTACTGTGATATCGATGCCCGACAAATTATTATCTACAATTTACTGCTCCTATACATCGTGACTAAATTCTATTCAACTTGTACCAATTATTCTTAGATATATTTATTGTTCACAGACATCTTAATCATCCATTCACTTGTTGTATTATGTCAACAAGTTTTGTGAATCGATTCAATAACTTGATAGAAAGTGTGTGAAGGAGCTTGTGAAATACTCTCAGTTACCATCACAGTATATTTTGTCAAAAGGTTTTACAGTGAGAATCATTCAGTGGATGAAGTTTCTAATTGTATATAGGTAAATATGGTTGACCAGGACACGCCATTAGTCAAAATTTGGTTTTATTTTCGAAAGAAAGTGACATTCATTGTTGACTGACATTGTGGATTTATTTTGTGAGGGTAAAATATGTAGATCAATGGATAGGTTGTATATTTTTTGTACGTTTCATTTGACCCATAAAAGCTTCATACTCATCCCTATTTTTCTCTCTCAAGTAGTTGGTTTGATTGCGCATATAATAAGTGAATATATCAGTAAGGAACTATAATGACGGTAAAACGTACTAATTTTGCTATTTGGATATCAATTTCGTGATTTCGAGAATAATTATCCACCATTTTTTATCTCCTGGTAGATTAATATTCCAATTATGGTTCATCTCTGAAATTACAACATGTGTTATTTATCATCGCTTTCTAGTTATTTGAGTAGCTGAAATTTATTTTCGGAACAGTGAGGAACAATCATTGACAAACTATTGTCAACATAACACATTACACATAAGCTTGGATATTCAGTTCATGCAATCAACACGAAAGGAATTTCGACCACCAAGTGCTCCAGATTTTACAGTATCATTTAATCTGTTATTTGGTGAGATTCTTATGATTACTGTCAATGTGTAACGAATTTGGACCTGAAAACATTACCTGTTAGAAGTTACATAAATTTGTCTATAAACTAGTTGTTCATCAGTAATTGATCATTGCTTATCTCAGTCTACCTAAGTTCCATTAGGATTGAGTGTTCTTCAGGCCATTAAAATACCAAATAAAGATTATGTTATGTTCTTTATGATATTTACTAATTACATACATCATTGTTCTGCAGCACTCAGGCTGAGACCCATTATCAAACACCAGTAATCAACGCTAATGTGAACGGTCACAATTCACAACTATACAATAAATTAGGGTGAACTGGTCACTCTTTCGGTGAACATTGAGATAAACATCTTGCCTGTGCCACAGGGTGACAACAGTTGACAAAAGCTAAGAGGGCCTCCTCAGTGTCGGGGTTTCGTCAGACATTAATGCACAAGATCTGATGAGGCTTTCATGTTGACTGAAGTAATCAACACGCTCAACTACGTTGCGCTCTATGATCTATCCACGTGATGATATGGATCATTCTTTAAGCAACAATTTACATTTAGAAAAAGAGAAATGCATCCTCAACGTATTTGTATTGTTACTTAAGGTGTTCAGTGAGATGTTCATTTTGACAAATGAAATAATATCATCCACCCGCTCTATGTAGAAGAGTGAGCCATGATAGACTAACTCCATCTCTAAAATGTCCCGTGATAGCAGTGTGAATTCTGGGAGTAAATCTATTGTAATATCACACAATGATGATAGAAATGGGTATAAGTGATAAACAACAATGGAAGTTAGGAATTCTGATTGTCGTTAGTTGTTAGCTCTGAAGCGACCAACAGTGAACAAGTTTGTAGCTATTCATCAAGAATTGATAAGTGATTGTGACTCATGGTTGAATTCCTTTAGGATGATGTTGGAAAGGAGAATTATGAATGGTGTGTAGCTATTCTCCAACAAATTAGTTTGTATAATTTTGATGAAAATTCACTCAATAATTATAAGCAAAGATGAATAGTTGCTAGCAGTGGAATTCAGGACGCGCGTTTCGTCCTATTTGGGACTCGTCAGCTAGATGTACCTGCATCTCAGAGTTAATGTTCACTCTGGGACTCGAACCCAGTACCTTTCGCAAATAATACTAAGTGAATTTAAACTTCACTCCATTGCAAAAACAAATGACCATAAGGACTCAGTAGGTAGCTGAGTGGATAACGTGATGGCGTTTGAAGCGAAAGTTACTGGGTTCGAGTCCCAGAGTGAACATTAACTCTGAGATGCAGGTACATCCAGCTGACGAATCCCTAATAGGAGGAAACGCGCATCCTGTATTCCACTGCTATCCACAATCCATCTTTGCTTATATTGCTTGTAAATTAAGGCTATATCGAGGCAACACGTACAGTATGCACATATGCCAATAAGAGACTGACCAGATGCAGTCCTAAAATCACCAATGGGAAGATTCAAACAATTAATACTAAGTGAATTTCACTCAATAATTGTTTTACGGTATGATTTATATAGTTCATAAAGCAAACAATCTTATAACTGGATGATCGTTAGATGGCATCTAGCATTGTATTTAAACTACAGGGAATCGACTATAAACCTACTACTCAATTTTTAAGAAAATGTCTCAGATTTGTATAACATTGAGTCTCAAAAATTACGGTGATTTGTGATCTTGTAATTTGTTGTAAAACCATTACAGATATGAGTTAAAACTAATTAATGCAATTGTGGTTATGCACCTAGGCTTGTTGTGTTCTGATTGAAAGTTCTGAGGATATTCACATTCTCTTGTCTATTTGACCACTTGGAAAATACAGTGTTAAAGTATGAACTGTAGATGACGACATAACAATATTCACTTGAAGACCTCATAAAATAATGTAGTTCTATGGATTTTCCATACTATTCATATACAGTTTTCTCAGTAAAGCATACTATTTAGTCTACAATCAATTGAAATCAGTCATTTCTTGTAGGTTTAGCCATTGACTATGCTAAAATTCACTTAGCTAAAATTTAATATTTAATATTTGTTAGTTTAACTGCGTCACAAGACAAGCCCTCACATGGAATTCTGAATGCCAAAGGAGAAGAGGAAGACAAAAGAACACATTATGCCGAGAAATGGAGACAGATATGAGGAGAATGAACAAAAGTTGGATAGAAATAGAAAGGCCCATGACAGAGTGGGTTGGAGAATGCTGGTCGGCGGTCTATGCTTCATTGGGAGTAACAGGCCTAAGTAGTTGTAATTTCTTAGTTCCCATGAGTTTCAGATTTGAAAAATAACTGTCCTCAATGATCAGTCATTTACACTGTAAACATAATGAGAGCCTGTATGTCTGAGTTTCCTCCTATTCCATTTACTTCATATATTTCATTGGTTGCTTGAGTAAATTGATTTAATTTTTATGTGTGCATGATTCAAAAGAGTTGACTGGATTGTACTCACTACACAGGACACCATTCTCTTTTAAGGGAGTTTTAATTGTTTTTAACAGTGTTTTCTTTTGTAATTTTGTTCAACTTTGTTAATACTGATGTATATGCTTTATTGTATGATATTAGTGGAAGGTTCGTTGGTGTTTAACACCTAATCATTTCTTTATTTAACTAATGTCTGCTATATTTTATGAGAACTTCTTAATTCTAACGTCTGTGAACAGTATAGGATGTTACAAAGGATGTATAGGATTTATTCACATTGAAGTGTGGTTAGATGAAGTTAAATATAAAATCTACGTAATTGTTGAGTCTACTAACTTAAGTGATAGAATATTTCTGAGTAGATAATTATTAAGATGAGTCGAATAGACAAACATGAGAGACAGTGGGTTCAATCATTTTTACTCTTAAAGAATATTTATTAAACAACTGTTTCATGGAATTCTTCTATTACTTCATTTGTAAGTTTTAATTTGGTTTACCAGCACTCATAGATCACAGTAATTAGCTTATAATTCTGTTATTCGGTCTTTTGCTACAGATGTCTTAGATTTTCACATTTTAAGACTCATTATGTAAAGAGTGTCATGATCATGTATTTCATGCACGTAATTACATGAGTCTATCAACCTGAGTAATGCAGAATAATATAAGCTACTGGGATAGTTTCTTTATTGTTCTCATTGGTAGATCAGAAACGACTTAAATGTTTGTGTAAACTATTGAGAATTAGCATACACTGTAACTGAGTTCTTGAACGCATAGTTAAGCGGAATGAGTAGAAGAAATTTATAACAGTAACTCCAAACTTGTTAGTTCAAACGAGACTTCACCTTAATTTAACCTGATAAAGAAATTAGTTATTAACGATTACTCCACAAAAGTTAGGTAGCGGTTATTCACATTATAATAAGCAAATAACAACTGATACATCACTGCTAATCATCATGATATGTGTAGGATTTAAATAATTTCAATGTTCACCTTTGAATTTTTGTTAAATAGATGGATCTATTTGTGTATAATACAGGTCACTTTATAAGGTCAGTCTCATGTTTGAATTCGGCCTTGATTACTTGCGTTTGGATATTTCAGTAGTATTCCAACTATCCTATATGTGATGATCAAGTATATCAGTTCATGTGCAATGAGAAGCACATATTACCTTGGATGTAATTATATCTAGTCGATGAGGGTTAAATTTAAAATTTACATCACAACCTATAATCTATTGAACTTCAATTAGTGTTTGTGGAACTATTCAAACTATCCTTAATGAGATTCACTAGTCACATGTTTTTCTTCATTACTTAATATTCACAAAGACGACATTGTTTCTTCTTACTCTGAAAACAATAAACTAATGTTTATTTATTTACTAGAATAGAATATATTTATATATATAAAGGTGAATTGATTAAAATTGCAATCCCTTTTCGGTTTTGATAATTTGATGAAAAGTGAACTGAACGAACCAACAACCAACTGGTCAAATGTAACATTCACAATTACATTTTCTCATATTGTGCATTCAAAGTATACACTTTCAACTATATTTGTGAACATGATGTAGTTCTCTGTTCAGTCTGATATTATTCAATATAAAATTAAAATCTAGCTATTGAGAATGATGCTAGAATAATCAACACTACCTAGAATGTGAGTACAAATGAAGAAAGAAACAAACAGTGGATATAAATAGATGGGCAATTAGTATGTTATTCCTAAACCAATTCATTATCATCAATGAGTTCATGCAAATTTTTTTCATCTTTAGACTACGGTCGTTAGTCATTTCCACTGACAAATGTTGAAACTAATAGAGTTAAATAGTTCAAATTATGTGGAAATCGGTGATTGATTTGCTTGATCAGGTTGTCATTTCATCAATATGATGAACAATTTGATATATTGTTATGCTAATTAATTTGATCTAGCTGTAAAACTGTGTTGAATTGTGTGAATGAGTTATGTGATTAGTCACATTGTTTTGATGCACACTATTTTGAAGTACCAACTATAAATTTGATATTCGGATGAGTAATCAATGACAAATTTTCTAATGAATGAGGAAGTTTATGATTTAGGAGACTAGTTTGCCTTTATACCATCTGAATTTCCATACTGACCGATTCTTCAGATCAATGGTCACAATCAATTTCGTTGTAACCAGCATATCACAGAAAGCCAAACGTCGTTATATTAAGAAAATTTTCACTCTTTTGTAATGAGACTGATTAAAATCCTAATCGTTTTGTTTTCAACTGTGTTTTTTTGGAAAACTAACCAACATTGTCACTATTAATATCGCCTGTTTGTAATAACCTCCACTTCGAAGAGCTGTTTCAGAGCTTTAGAATGATCTTTGTACATTTCTATTCTGACTATTAGTTTCTATTATTTGAATGTCACCAACATCATCACAACACATTTGAGATGACTTGTCACAATCCGACTAATTCTTTATTTCTTAAGGAGATAATGATTGTTATGATGGTGATTTACGGTTCAAGTGAATTGATTTGAGTTTAGTATGGTTTATTCAGATTTCATACACATCTCGATTTTCATACTCCGTTGACTATTTCGATAGAATGCCTGTATGATCTCATAATCGATTATCGAAAATCTATCTATGTGCAAGTAGTGATGAATACAAATATCACTGTCGTCACATCAAAGTAGATATTGATAAATTCCATTTTGTCTATAATGCCAGTCAGTAAAATATTAGTAGAATAGTGATGAGCAGCCTGAACCTTTCGGATTGAAAAACACTGGAAATGATTATTCAATTTGTCTCCATGTGAATTTTAGTGAATATTTAAAATAGACCATTCGTCTACTCACAATGGAACATTCAAGTATCATTTCGTTGACTTATCGTTGATGGGTCGTGTTGTTTTCCACATCGCCCTCTCTATGTTGTGTAGAACATATTCATAACTTTGTTTTGTTTTGAAATTTTCGTTGTTATCACATCCTGTATTTTTGTACTCTATTAGGTATATTAACATCACGGAGTATTATTGAAGAGCTTACAAACACTTTTACACAATTGTTTGAGTTTGGTTTACTTTTACTATCTAAACTTTGCTTGTGAATTTCACTACCGATTACTGTTTGATAACAACACAGAAGAAGATGAACTCTTTAGGTGTTGATGTGTCTTCGAACTGGTGATGTTGTTATGTATGTGTGAGGATGTTATTACCTGAACTCTGGATTACTGAAATCGTTATCTAATCAGCATTTTTAGATTTGACTTTTAAGAAGAAAAGCAGTCAATATTTTTAACAAATCTAGGTGGATCACGTGATTTCAAACGGTCACATTGTATATTCGTGTGTGTGTGTGTGATCAAAGTACATTCCTAGCAATGCTAATTACCTACTGTATATAGATAGATCTAATATAACAGACAAATTTCTTGAATATTTCTGACTTAAATTTACTACTTATATGGTAATTTCTCAAAATAATATGTACCGGGTAAGTAATCATTTAAAACTATTTAAAAAAATTCAATCGGGTTTTGCTCTTGGTTGTGAAATGTTCATGTAGTTCAGTTACTTCAGAATCTGAACTATTCAATACTTCTCAACTGTTACCACAAAAGAATACGAGTCATGTAGCGGACAATCTATTTGAAGTGCCCATCGATTTTAATAGTTAATGTTTGTTTAGGTTCCGAAATAATTTTAAAGTGGATGATAGTTTTTACATTCGATGAATTATGGACGGTAGTCGAGTTCAGATTCAGGTTTCTTTGTATTTTGAACTCTTCATTTTATGCTGTTTGTCAACTACTTCAATCGTCTAACACCAAATAGAAGTTCGTTCTGATGTTGAGCCTTTTAGATTAATGAACGCACACTATAAGTAGATTGATAGGATCTGACCAACATTAAATATAAGACAACAAGAAACCAATTGCTACCAAGTGAGGAATTCATACATACAAGTTTACCTTTAAAAGATAAGCACATTTATCATTTGTCAAGGTTAATTTTTATTAGACATTAATAAAAGTCAAAATCAATTGACTTTTGAAGCTATTGAACAGATGTTTCATTTTGATTGTTATTAGGAGTTGGTTGTTCAAGATGTCATAGATTCGATACCGCATAAGAATATGACTTCGCTGAAGAGCTTCAAACCAGGACGAAATGGGATTCTAGACCTACTTCCCTTATTCTTATCAATAGTTCTCTATCAACTGTCATCTTGTGATTGAAACTACCACCATATTGGACAATTATCATAAAATTCCTCTCATGTCTTGTTATAATTACTTATAACATTGAGGTCTAAACGAAAATATACCGATCGAACAAGGTTAGTTGAGCGAACAAAAATACTTCTCAAATTATAATAGAACGTAAGCGGAAAGAAAGGATCGGATGTTGAGATGGAACTTACCAAGAAAGCTAAGACACCGAAAGAAACATACATAATAACGTCAGCTGAAGTAGTAATATACGACTGGATAACCGTTTTACATCCAGTTGAGTCATTTTGACTGGTAGAACTCGATGTTGTTGGACAAGTTGAATCGGTCAAGGCAAGATTCGCATCAACTTTACAACATGGAACTGGTCGAACCATAGCTAGGCAAAGAAATATGAAGGAGAAAAATTTACGAAGTGTACACTCAGAAGAATACAGTTCATATGATGAACAACAGGTAAGCTGTACTGGATTGTACTTAACCTAGGGAAGTGTGTCCCCTTAAATGAATTTTATTTTCTTAATGACTTCTAATCATGTTTGTTATTGTGCTTGGTTCTTCGTAATAATGTGTATCGTTGTAGTTAAATGAAAACTAGGTTATTTTGGTCACCGGTTCACTTATATGTGAGTATGTTAATAATTAGATTAAATTCAATAATAATCATTTAGCCACTCATAACATTATTTTAGGTGATTAAATATACATACATATATGAACTATCCAACTAAAGTCTCAGTAATGTTCAGTGTTTTCAATATCGAAATAAATGGGGAAAACCAAGTACCATGTTTCATATGTCACCAATGCTGAACACTTTACGTCCAGTATTAAATCCACCATTTTTCAGGAGGAATAAACAAAAATATTTAAGATAATTGTTTGTAAAGAATCGATTGTTGTTCGGCACAAACTGACAGCATCTAAAAAAAATCTTAACAACCAATAACGTTAGGGAAGATGCTTTGTTTTGACTTGAGACACATTAAAAGTATATATCTCTCAAATTCATGATATAGAATTTCAAGACAATCGAATACTCTTTCATTTCACTAAAAACCGTGTGTTACAGTAAGCAACATTCACGCTTACTAGAACACATCCAGATTTCTCTATTAAAACAACTTTCCACTTGTAATCCGTTCATGAGATAAGGAAATATTGTTACTGACCAATGACTCTATCATCAAGCCAGAAAATTCAGGTTTAATGAGGTCTAAGAGATCTGTTTTACCTAATTGGTATTATGCGATAGTATTAAGGATTTTCGGATCTCTACAATTTCTTTTTAATTATCAATACTCTTTGGTGTTCAATAACAATTGCTATTCATGAGAAGTCGTTTAGGAATATTTTTGTATCACACTTTCCCTAATCAATCAATAATAAACACAGTTAATTGTGGACGTGGAACTGACGGGAATTAACTGGGAAATACTTTGAATGAAATTCATGACTATTTCAGATATAAATCAATGAGTTGCTTGCTATGCTGAATTTTGTTTGAATTCAATTGAAATGTGGAAGTCTACCTGTGTGATTGTTATAACTGAACACAACCGTTTATCAGTTTCCCATCAAAATGTCAATGCTCAGTAGTTCAACTTTGTGATAAACTTCTATAATATTTAAGTAGAAATCATTGTCTTACATGTGTATGTATTTCCTGAATATGTATCGGTGGTCGCGAAGTTGCTGGATGAGGTAATGTCAGTTACACTACTGGATCCACAACATTGTAGCTATTTTCAAAAATAAAAATAAAAATTGAATAACAGTGCGTAAATTGTGGAGCATACTGTACAGTGAATTTTATATAATCTAAAAACAAAAAGCCATTAACGCTAGTCATGTATAAGTAAGTGAAATAAGGAGAGTAGGTAAAAAGTTTACCTCAAAACAACTGTCCACTGTTTGTTTAAATTGATCAATCAAGATAGTTATTATTGTTTGAGCCCTATTAGAACACACTCAACAGTTTTGTAGACTGTTTTATTCGTTTTGAACAAGATTTAATAATTAAGTACTTACTAGTGACTAATTTTGAGATGGATTCCTGAAGTTGTATTTAGGAGCTATGTGTAAAAAGGTATGGTAAATCAGGTCTGATCTCATGACTGATCAACGAGGTTGTATGAACGTCACGTTGTCATTAAATGACAAGTGTTGGAATTATGGATATTTTGATTTCAAAACGACGGTCTTAATATATCGCCATCGCTACATGGTCTGAAATTCATGTGTTCATCTGCACGTACAGCTGAGAAGTGAAACATTTTTCTGAAATGACTGAACAGTGTGCAACCATTTTCAATCCTTTTTCAATTTATGTTGTTTCATGATAGAAACTACTCTGTGTCAATGACACAATGGTCATCTTTCTTTGTTCAATGAAACATATGATTCATTTGAATTATATTCTCAACTTACAAGCATCATCAATGATGCAAATAATACACTATTAGTATTTCCTGAAACAATTGAAACATAACTGGTAGCCCATGAATCGATTGCGGAATCTAGCACTGAGGTGACCTTGAAAAAAGGAAAAGCGGATATACAATTAAATAAAGATGTGAATTACCTTGATAAAATTTTCAATATGTTACATGTTTTAAACAAAACCTTGTTAATTTAGTCATTGGGGAAATGAAACTACTTAAATTATTTTACAGTAGTTAATTAACGTTTTACTAAACTAATATACATTATATATAGTTGAAATCATCAGTCATTTGAAACTAGATCACCATGGAAATCCTGGAAGCACTGGGCGGCCGTTTCGTCCTATTGTGGGACTCCTCAAAAATTTGCATCCACGATCCCGACTTGTGAGATTCAAACCCAGGACCTACCACTCTCAGTTGTCTCATTCTATGACAATTAGTTTTTGACTACAATGATGCTTATGAAATATTTCACTTTCTACCGTTTATGATTAGGAAAATGGGTGAGACGATAATTAATGGACCATTTATGAACTACGCGAAATTGACCTTTAGAAAATTCACCTACTTACTAGGATCTAAAGAGAGTTGCAAATCGATACTAGAATTAGGATTAGACGTTAGATTTAATGTTGTATTTACAGCTAGGGTTTTTATCAAACATCGACATCGACTATAATCACTAGATGTGATTTAACCAAATGGATGGATGAATTTGGTGCAGAAGTTGAAGACCTAATATCTTTGAATTTGTTGTTTTATCCACAACTTATAGTCTCACCAGAGAATGTCTTCGTGACTATTCTATAATGAACATTTTGTTTGTTACATTACGACAACATTATGAATGTGTCTTATAAAGATACAGGTTAACCTACTGATTAAATCGAAATTCTATAATTGTTTTCAAACTAATCGCTTAGTTAAATGTTTTTTATTAAAAAGTTGCAATGAGAATATAATGTATGAAACTATGATCCAGTGATTAAGTTTCAGATTCACATCCCATTTCATTTGATTCAGTTTAGGCAGCCAGATACTATTTCTAACATCCACATTCAAGATCTTATTTGAAGCCAAGTACATGAATCTGTAAGCTATGAACGAGTTTATCATCATCATCATCATCATCATCATCATCATCATCATCACCCTTATGTTATAGTATTTTCACAACAGAATGACCAAATATAATACAGACATTCATTTCATATGTGACTTCTTATCAACTATAATGTACATGTGGACTAATCAGTATGTTAGATGAACTCCTATTTTAAATAATTGAATTAGGAATTGATCGAATGCTAGCAAATTTTAAATAATATAGCTTACCAATGTAGGTTTTACTTTATATGTAATAATTAATGCTACCACAGCAATAGTAATTGCTATCACAACGGCAAGATACTAGTTGTTGTATTCGTTGATTTTTGTTTAAAATGAAAAGAACAAACAGTATGAAAAAGAAACGATTCGATTGAAATTGTTATTTTTTTCATTCTAAATTAACAAGATGACTTACAAATAAATTAATATATTTGTAATAGTTGAAAGCGTGAGTCAATTGAAGCTAGACCACCAAGGAAAACCTGGAAGCACTGAACGGCCGTTCCGTCCTATTATGGGAATCCTCGGCAGTGCGTATCCACGACCTCGACTGGAGAGATTCGAACCCAGGACCTACCAGTCTCGCCCCAGAGCACTTAACCGATTGACCGCTGAGCTGGCATCCGATGATGTTTATGTCTAACTCCAACCAATAGGACGAAACGGCCGTCCAGTGCTTTCAGGTGTTCCTTGGTGGTCTAGCTTCAATTGACTCACGCTTTCAACTATGAAAATACTAAATAATCACAAAACCTCTTCTGATTATATTTGTAATATCCCAATGAGTAGAAAAATTACATTTGTCGACGTTTCGTGACTCAGTGTAAGCCACTTCTTCAGACAATAAATAATAAAATTAACATTAATCCAAGTTTAAATAGTACAACGGGATAACACACGAATATTAGGCGATCAATCAATCAATCAGAAAACCAGTTTGAATAAACCAATGTCATTTCATTTCGGTCAAGGTGATTCATAAGCGACATGTATGTAAATTTGTGTGTGTGTATATGTGCACCGTTAATGACGAAAAATGTGTTAGCCTTAAATCTTTTTAGAAGAGCCAACAAGATCACTTCAGAAGAGGACAAACAAACAGAACAAAAGTATGTTATTAGTATATTACAATTTAATAATTTTCCTATGAAGATTATCAGAAGTATATTAAAACAAGACAGTTCAGTACGTAATAATAATAACAACTCGAAGGAAATGCCATGGATTGGTACTGCAGCTTTACCATAACGTCGTGGCACAACTGAAGTACTCCAAAGGATATTAAAACATTACAGAATTAAAGTATATTGCAAAACAACGAACACACTTCAAAATACTTTAGTTCGATTAAAAGAAAAATCCCATCCATGTTTACACTGAACTGCATCTACAAATTAGGTTGTGTCGATGGTGATGCCATCTATATTGGAGATTCATCTCGTGAAATCTTGACTCGTGCCAAAGAACATATTAGGTACACAAAGAAACCTAATAATCTTGTAGAACTGGTTAGACTTCAAATTAAATTGGCAATAGCAGTTCATGCCATTTTCAACAATCATCAAATTGATTTCAAAAATATCAAAATACTAAAAAAAGGCTTTTCCAATTATAAAGAAAAGAAAGTAGCTGAAGCGTTCCATGCTTAATGCTTAATGGCAATTTCACCATTCAGTTTCTATGCATTCATACTACTAGAACAACTCAAATGTGTAGTTTTCAAACTGTTCAATAAAAGTATCACCCCACTTACCAATCCAAGACAAACTTTCGACCTACAACACACACCAATTATACCCAACAAACAGATTGCCATCAATACCATCCCGATGATGAAGATAACTACGCCGATCGGTTCTATATTGACAGAATGTTAGAAAAACAAAGTGGTAAGCTAAATACAGAATCAATAGTGAACAGTCCACTTTCAAACATTACTACTAGTCATGATGATGAGAACTAACTTCCATATCAGCGGACATTAGTGATGTATTCCTTTGAATGGTTGCCGAGTTCTATTACAAATTGATCGAAGTTGAAAGTGTCAATCATCAGATTTCAATACAACAATTTAAAGTTTGTACGATTATTAAAAAAATCCAAACTTTGTGGATTCGACTTATAGGAGAGTCATGAGTGTGCACTGTCAAGACATTATACACTAAAACAATGAAATGTCTATTTCTCCGTCTGATTTATTGGTTCCCAACTTATTTCACGTTTACATAAGTCTATTAAATGTGGTATTGAACAAGTGTTTGTTAACTACTAAAACTGGATAGTAGACTGATTGCATTTTAGTAAATGGTTATGAGTGAATCTAATTATAACCATGTGTCTACAACGACTAACAAAGTGATCCGTTTATCATCTAGCAACCAGTTATTTTCTTTTCGAAAACCGTGTCTATGAATCTCTTCACATTAGAAAGCTTACACATCTTCATATTAGTAGGTCAGTGTATTACGAAAATAAAGACACCTCAGTATTTGATAGTTGACAGCTTCATTAACGAATTTCCCACCATTTCGAAAATGTTTTGAATATCTTTTTAAGCATACATCACATTCATGAAACAATTAGTGGCATTTATTTATTTATTTATTTAAACACATAAATATTGTTACAAGGAAGCACCAGATAAGTATGCGCCCCACAAATCTCATTTGATTTGTGTGAGGGCTATGATACTGCTGAGATGCCCAGACTGAAGCAGCGGTTTTCTTATGGGGCACACCCCGAGCCTTTGACCTGAAGGTCTAGTCCACAAGGCAGTGGAGCATCGTGAGGAGATTCATTTCCATGGTAGCAGGTGACCAACGATTGATTCATACACCATTTGTTCCCTCAGGGTACTGGAGCCCATGTGCAACATTGATTTGGAATCAGAGTTTCCCAACTCTCCTAAGTAGACTTTCCGTGTCCACCAACCCGGTTAAAGTGCCAGACATTTGCTTTTCACCCTCTGAATTTCGTAAACAACGATTATGCCACGAGAAGAAAGTGAGTAGGACTTCCCCGGCAGGGGCTGTATACACATGGCCATGCGAGAGCATTTAGAGAGGGAGAACGGACTCTCCCCACTCTTGGCCGTACCAGGGCATTTGAGGGCAATCCAAGATTAATAGTATGCTGTTGTATGATACATATGATATACATATGATACATTTCTGTCATCATAAATAATCCCAAATGATTAAAGTATATTCAATCATTGTTCATTATTACTAATCGCATTTCGACTGATACCAACTGACTGAGAATAGTCAACCGGGTAGATTCATTTTCCATTGTTTGTGACTGAATGTTTATGAACAAATATATTATATCAAAATAATTAAATGAATATTCACAAATATACAATCCAATAAGATTAAGTAGCTGATAAAGCTTTAACTTACGAACAATGCTAATAATATTATTCACTAATGATGTGGTATCCACTGTCATTTTACTCGAAAATGATGTTGTAATATAAGACACTATTGTACTGCTTAAAATACTTGTGACTGTCGATGAACTCCATGCAAATATCCCACCACCAATAGCGATGGCAATTGATATTGTCTATCCGTAGAAAAAAAAGGAATTGATATTACTTCCTTGGAAATGATTAACTTTATGTATAGTTATAAATGTAATAGTAGTTCACATTAATTTATTAATATTATCGACAAGCATGATCGTGAACGTTTTGTATTCAAATCACTATTCCTCGAGTTTTATGTGGTTTGTTATCGATGAATACTGTGACGATCAAGGTAAATGTTTCAGCTAAGCAGTACACGAACTGAACTTTCGCTGTTTTTGGTGAAAATTAGATAATCTTGTATTAAAGTTACATTGATTGAGAGTTGTGTTCAAAAAACAGTTTAATTAAGGCCTGTAAACAGTACGACAATGATGTAGAGCTAAGATGGTCACTGACTAACGGAATTGATAATTTGTACTGGATGGAATTTAAGATCATCTTCACCCATTATTGTTTAAAATAACTAAACAGACTGACTACTGAAGATTTCCAATGTTTATTTGAAATAATGTAATGTTCTGCCACAATAAAATTCGAACAACCTGATCATATAATTATTGGGGCATCTTTGCGATTTCCGTTTTAAAAGATATGAGCAATTAATTGATCAGCAGTCTGTCATAATGCGGTGTAGTTGATCCGAACATTATTAGGAACGAAAACAAACAATGCATACTAATCAATCAGTGAATCTTCCAGTCAACAATCTGAGGAAAGATGCTTCGAATCATAACCTAACTTATATCCCCTATTAACATTCATCATAATTGTTGTTTATAGAAGCTAATCTAGTGGCTGATTTAGTCTTAAGTAATGTAGCCTTTGTTCATGTTTATTTCTTCAGATTGATTCCGTGGTGCATTTAAGTGAGATTAGGTTGCTGACCAGTGAGTATATGACTTCAATGAACTACATTTCAGTTTTAGATTTTAATTTATTTCAGCTATCTGTATGATAGATATCATAGTCATCCTGAACATTAAAATGTATGATTGAAATTCAATGCAATGCTCTAAATACCAAACGGCAGAAATAATTTTGTTTAAATCGACGGTATTTTTCTCTGAAATACTTTGTGATTATGATAATTGAAGTTGAGGGGTATTTAAATTAGAATTGTTTAGGAGCACTACATCCTCTCGTTCGGAGTTCAGTTTTCAAAACTTAAGACAGTTATAGACGTTGCCCATTTGTTAACACTATCTAATACTCAATGTCATAAAAAAATACTAACAACACAAGAAGACTATCATTATCAATTGACGGGCACGTGAGTTAAGCTGTTTGTAATAGATTAAACAAAATCTTCTTCAATTTGTAAACATCAAAGACAAAATCCACGAAGAACTCTGAACTGTAAAGTGAAACGCCAATGTGATAAACAGTGTCATTATATTGAAGATTGTTTGTAAAACAAAACACGAATAACTACGAATCTGGGACACTTGTTGAATGGTATATTCTTCAGTTGAATTTGTGATTCAAGAAAACCTCCATAAATTTATTGTTTAATTATCACAAAGAAGAGATTCATTAAATTTATGAAATATGGGAGTCGATATGTAATATTTTGATGAAAAATATCAAAGAATTACTTACCAGAACTATACTATTAATTATAGTTAAAATACAACCACATACAGCCATTGTTTAGGGTAGTTGAATCTTGTCTTTTTTCGATATCGAACACTGAGGAAGATGATATTAACGAAGATGAGAAGATGAGAAATAAGTGGATATTTTCAAGGCTATATATATATATATATAAAGTAATGTAGTGGAAAATTAAAGAGAAATAGTTTTTCATTTCAGTCATGAACAATTGGTTACTAGAGTCAGGATAGAGAGCATATATGAAGATTAATTAAAACACTTGTCAACTATCAGTAAATCATTATCAAAATGAATCGAACTCAGCTCATATGGATAAATTTTGTTGTTTACTGAGTCATTATTGAGGTTATGAACCTGTCAATGTTAGAACACCATTGAGAATCTGAAAGTATTTTACGTCCATCTCATCCTAGTATAGGGCTCCTGAACAGTGCTCATTCACAATCCATCACGCAGGATTCCAACCCAGGACCTTAGGTTTCACGTGAACACTTAACCTTTAAATAACTGAATCGGGATATGATGCTGTTATTATAGCTTGAATTCGTTTCTTCAAGTTTGAATAGAAATTATCATCATGAAGTCATTTAATCTAGAAAATCACTGAAATCGATTAGTTGATCCGGTTTCATGATAGAAGTCACTTCCTTATGAAATAGTGTTTATATAGAATAATCTGACCGTAAAATTACCCTGAGTTTGCTAGTGACCTATCGAGGTTATGGTGGGATACGGAGGGGAACAATAACACACTGATTATGTTGTATTAGAGGTGTGTTATTTCGTGAACTGATTGAATTTCATAAAATGTGTACTTTCGGACTTAAACCCAGTGGAATAAATATGTTGTGCTAATGAGAGATGCAAACATCATGGATTTAGCGTTGTATGAAATGGTTGCTAAGAATTCATTCAATGAAACTGTACAGGAATCATATGCTGAATAGTTCCCAATGATTAACTAATATCAATTCGTGATGAAACTTTGATTCGAAGTACGAGAATGATTTGTACAGAGTATATGTTTATAACTAAGTAATATTATTTTCGTAGTAGAACAGTAGCGAATAAGAAGTATATCTTCTAATGTTCTCCATTTGTTCGACGGTAATTTCAAGATTATAATACAAATGTGTTACGGAATTAAGTAGGTTAGTTTATATAATTCAACTGTACGTAAGATTCCTGCTAATTAGGATCAAATGATGATGAATATGTGGTCAAAACTTTGCTTTGATGCTGAAACGTCTAGATAAACTTTGTTCACTAAAGCTAACATTGTGAATACAGAAATTATCAATACAGAAATAAATGATTGGACAGTGTTTGGAGTTCAGCAATCCTTGATGGTATTTTCTTTGACAAACAAATATGAATTAAGGAGTTATTGAACCACTAAAACTAAGCAGCGATCAACTTCTAGCTCATTTCGTGTTGTAACTTATTGAGATAGAGAATTTACAGTACAACACAGCGTTAAAGCCACAAACATATGGTCTTATGGAGAGTATTTCGTCTTCAAACTATTGGTTTCCACTTCAATGGTCACATTTCTAACGTTAGTTGATTAACAGTGTAACACTGGGACCAAGCAACACCATCAGTGAGTAACCATCGTATTACACACTTTCCCATTAGAATCTCAGCAAAAGTATTCTTGTGCGTATGACGTCATTCATACAAAACTCATGGCTATATCTTAATTACACTTTTTATCATTGTGATAAACCATTCATGATGTTACTTTTATTTAAACGAAATAAATATTAAGGCATTACGGAGGAAAATGTTGCTTCTAAAATCTGGACGACTGGATTTTAAGTAGATCTAACGTTTCCCTCAACAATCTGGTTCAAGCTTTTCTCAGGTTATATCACCATAAGTGACTGAGATTTCACGAATATAATTTTTTTCCCTTAGTGTTTTATCTAAACCAAACGACCAATTAATGTAAAACTTTCGTTCAAGTTTTGATGGAAGTTCTTACATATTGTTAGCAAGCTAATAATCTGATAAGATAACCGAAAAGTGGAAAAACAAATGCAGAAATGGGAACTTACAATATTAGGCTTCACAGAAAGGTCAAATATGCACCTCACGTCTTCACTTTATGTTGAAATAGTGAACAATGATGGTTAACAGCACACAGCTAGAAATGTCACCAAAAAAACCAGTGTCCTTTTTTTAACTCAGAAGTAAACGAATAATATTTTGTTCTTTTTTGATCTTAATGAGGTCAATATAATTAAAAAGGGTAATGTAATAATAAAATGGATGTCATAAGTGTGAATATGAAAATACTGGTACTACACACAACACAGTTGTGTTTAATTATTTGTGTGTGTATATGCACATCTGTGAAGTTCTTTCCCTTCGTTTCATTGTCAGTTCATTTAATTCTAGCCTATTCGTAGACAGATAATTTTTTATGACAATTAAGGTCACTTCTATTTAAACATAAGGTTCAAAGAAAATATTATCCAGTGAATTATATGTCTGGAATGGTGTGAAACATCATAGCAACCAATCAGTTTACAACTTGGTGATTTGTGGATTATTACAATAAACTTTGATGGTCGCGTTTGTTTAATTTGGGTTTTTTCGTCTCGCTTTTATATTAAAAAAAAAACGAGCTTGAACTCTCTAGACTACAAGGAAAGGCAAACAGCTGAAGCCCTATACATTTGGGTTAATCCAAACAATATTAATAGGAGGGATGGAATACAATTAGCAGTATCATGGCAGCTAATCATTAATAAGTAAAATCCTGAACTCCTTAACGTTTTTTATCTATTTCGTATTATCTAAATGACAACAATTGCAGTCGATGATTCTAATCAGTTGTCTTATCGGAATTTGTTAAACAATTCACTGGAACATTATAAATGACACATACATACAGTTTATAAAATTTGCACTCTTCAAATCTCACTCTTTTATTATTTTTATTTTCATAGTTGAAAGCATGAGTCAATTGAAGCTAGACCATCATGGAAAACCTGGAAGCACTGGACGGCCGTTTCGTCCTATTATGGGACTCCTCAGCAGTGCGCATCTTCATGTTATACATGCTGTGACAGATATGATTCATATAATATATTACAAATTGTATGTTTCCTTATAAATTCACCGATAAGAGACAATATATTGTGTGAATGTAATTTCTCCTCTCACCTCTAACGTTTTCTATACAATGTGTTATATGAACAATCATCACTTCACATTACACATCTCTTACACATTAATACACATACCTAGTTTAAACTTTGTTAACGTTGATTGGATGACCTATTCAGTGTACGATGAACCCGGAGAACCATGTACCTATTTATATTCGATAATTTTGATGTTTGATTATAATTCCTTGAAAAAGCTTGGACCAGATTGCCAGGCGAAACGTTGGATTTACTACAAATTCATTCGCTGAGATTTTACGAATATATATTATTTCTATATAATGTCTCTAGACTTCAGTTTGCTGAAATTTTTTCAAACTACTCATCATTTATTCATATAAATTAATGGAGACCACCGAACTTTATTGAGATCACTAACCATTAAAAACCTGACTTTACTGGGTTGTTGTTTTGTCAGCACTCCGATTCGGTGCGCATCTATGGCATAGGATCTGAGAGTTAAATCTGGGGTCGTGTTATCACTCTCGAGACCTAAATAAATGCGATTACTTCACAACTTGGTCCTCTTAAGAAACAACACTTGAATGTTGTAAGTTATTGGGGTAGGAAAATAAATGACCCATACTTGTATACTTGTATAAATTACCTGGAATGTTAGTTGTTTTTTCAACCTTTCATTTTATGTTTCTCTCATAAGTACTAAAAAAAAAATCAGAAAACCCTTATGTCATCTTTCAATTCTCATCAGACTGAGGATGTATCCTTATCTATAGATAGGTAGCTTTGGTTCGTTTAATAGCAAAAACTAATATTGTTTCCTACTGTAATACTATGTTGATAGTTAAAATAACTTTATAAGCAATCACGTAATGTGATCCTTAACACTTGTGTGGACTGTTTCAGAGAATAATGTTGCCTTCATTGACTAGTCATTGAATGATTCTCGATGTGATATTCTCCTTCTTCTTAGCATCAAATGAATTGAATCAATCAAATGTGATATGCATTGGTGGTGTAAGTGACTAGATATCGCGCACAGACAAACAGCATCAATTTCTTCAAGATTGCAGATAACCCTTGCTAACGAGTTCAGACTATCACAAAGCCTAGGTAGACCGTTTGCTATAGGTTACTTGCAATCACATTACAGTGAAGTTACTAGATAATTCATATATATATGAAGAATTCATGATGAAAGTAGGAACGGAGATGTATTATTTCAAGAGAACAACTAAAATCTTTCATGGAATTGTTTAAATTTACGATAATTACATATACATACGTAGTACATAAAAGTATTCACATTTCTTCTTGCAATATTTTAAAATTATCGCTAATGTCTGGCTTCGAGAGATAATTCTCTGAATTCTAGTGAGAAGCCGTGACAAGTGGAGTACAACTGTGTCGTGTGTGAGGCACTTACCGGCCGAAGACAATGAAAAATGTTCACGTGATATAGTGGGCTGGTTGGATTAGACATTAACACCGTCGTATTCCGGTCCAGTGATCTAGTGGTTAAGCGTCTGTCAGCGGGACCTAATGTTATGGGTTGGAATCCTGCATAAGGGATTGTGAAAATGCATTGTTCAGGAGCCCCATACTAGGACGAAAGAGACGTATAGTGCTTCCAGTTCTTCAATGATGGTCCAACATTGATCGGTTCATGGTCCAACTTATTTTAAAACTATCAACACCTGTTGTTTTGTCGTTACATTTAACTTCGTCAAATACGAGTATTTTTTCTAAAATCGTACTCACAGGCAGTTCTGTTAAACTCAACCAATGCAAAATTATTCAGGTAATAAATCTGTAACTAGAACACTTAAGGAGCTTAAGACCTTAGATAATTGCACCAAGACAAGAAAACGATAGTTGCTCTAATTTTTTCAAAAGCTTCTCTTAAGTTTCACTAACAATCTTAATATCTCAGTCTGGATATCTGTTTGACAAGGAAAGTATATCAACAAATTGAATTTCGTTATTTTGATTGATCAGTTTGTTATCATCATGTAGTAGTCATCATACTGCAGGTAACTGAGACTTCTTTAGTCATTGTAAAAAACATTAGTTTTCTGTACCTTTCAAAACAACAAATACTGACACAATTCATTAACATGTCTTAAGTAACAAAGTACAAAACCAGTCTATTCAAAAGACTGTAAATCGTCAATAAGTCATCTCTCATGCTTTTGAAATAAATTAAAGGCACATTAATTTGTCATAGATATACACTGATAAATGTCATTTTAGGCTTATTGTAGAGCATATGGAATTAAGTTGTGAAACAATAACAATAAGGAATTATCCTTGAAAAAGCTTGGACCAGATTGACGGGCGAAACGTTGGATTTACTTCAAATTCATTCGCTGAGATTTTATAAATATATTATTCCTATTTAGTGTCTTACTTCAACTAGGCGCTCAAATACTGTGAAACTATTCACTCTAATTTAGACGAAAGTTCCTATATAAATAACAATAATCGTAGCAGATTTTCATCTGCTTACGACATAGAAATAAATATACTGGTCATTTTTGAATAACACAGTGTACATGCTTAACTTTACACCATCATAAAGGTTTTCATCAATGAAGATTGATAAATGAGTGATAAGTATCAAAGACGTTTTCGTAAGGTTGAGTATTTATTTGTTAGAAGACAGTGACACAATGCCGAAGATTAGTTGAAGTTAGATATATTAACCTTTGGATCCTTTCTCAGTTGTCTAGAAGTTAATATCTTGAGCACACGATCACGAGTTTCTGGTTGTGGATACGGGGATGTGCAATGCCTAGGGGGCCCGCTCTAAGGTGAAACGTCAGTCGATGCTTTCACATTTTTAATGTTCGTCCAGGTTAGTTCGGTTCGTAATATCGATGAAAATGTATTTAAGTGGCTAAGTAATTCATTATCAAAACAAATAGTCTGCAAATTTCACTGCATAATTTAAATATTCAGTAAGCCACTGAGCGTGTAAAAACACAATCAGTAGAGCAGGTTAAGAACATCCATACCCACATATATATGAGGTGTCTCAAATTAGTACTAACCCTTCTGTAAAATTCGTATCTTAAAATCAGGTTGCCATAGAACCGCAGAATTATAAATTGCTCATAAAATCCCTAACTTAAAACAATTTGTTCGTCATGTTTGATTGATGCAAACCCATATCACAAAGATAACAAAAAGATACATATTCACTTTTCTTCCACGTTGTTGTTGATGAATGATAACGAATAAAAATCTTGGCTCAGTTGCTTTCTCATATTTAATCTCAATTCACCATCACTCCTCATTTTATACAATATTAGACCTGTAAAACACTCTGGGGAGACGTTTAACAATGACGACATGAAGTAGGCTAGAATTTGTTTCTTGCGCATTGAAGCCAACTACGTTAGGTACAGTTAAGGAATACACACTCTGCAACTGCCAGACATCGATTTTTTTTGAAGAACTTAGGAATATTTAGAATCAAATAAAGCTCTGAAGTCAAAGGTTTCTAAATATGATCATGAGTTGTTTTAAATGAAACAAATCAAACGAAATTATTCATAAAAACCAGAGTAATGCTTCAGCAGAACTATGACCTTCAATTTTTTCCTTACACCTGACAAATACACCAACGTTTTTCTGTCTGTTCATTATATTCGGTCAACTGTCATAATAAAACTCTGTGGATAACGCGATGGCGTTTGAAGCCAATGATACTGGGTTCGAGTCCAAGAGTGAACATCAACTCTGAGATGCAGGTCCATCCAGCTGACGAATCCCAAACAGGACGAAACGCGCGTCCTCGATTCCACTGCTAGCCACTATCCATCTTTGCTTACCATGCTTGTGAATTTAGGCTATATCGATGTGATACGCACAGTATGCACATATGCCAATTAGAGACTGACCAGTTGCAGTCCTAATAACATCAATGGGAAGATCCAAACAAACAATACTAAGTAAATTAAAAATCTATATCTTCTTGGAAATGCATGATCCCACCTTTTTTGGGTCTTCGAGGCTAAAATTATGAAACGTACTGCAGAATATTTGTGTATTAGGTATATTCACTATAAACATAAGAGTATAATTTTCTCTAACTGACATGACGGAAGCTGTCATATTTATGAGAGGTTTTTTATATTAGTTATCATTTTATACTTCTCTGTTACTTTTGTATAAATATGTTTATCCTAGAATACTATGATTCCTATTGAATCATTGTAGGACTCGTCAGTGGTTGTTATAATCAACGTCAATGTCTTAAGTGCTTTACAGATGAAGGAGTGGAAACTAACCACTAAACATGTTGCCATAATTTAGTGTACTGTACCACGTCTGTTGTGAGATAACAACTCACTGAAGGCAATTGGTGAATGGTCGCTCATAATTCGTGGATCAGTTGAAGTTAGACATTAACACCGTTGGATGCCGGCTCAGTGGTCTATCGGTTAAGGGCTCTGGCTCGTAACTGGTAGGTCCTGGGTTCGAATTTCGCAAGTGCGGGATCGTGGATGCGCACTGCTGAGGAGTCTCATAATAGGACGAAACGGCCGTCCAGTGCTTCCAGGTTTTCGATAGTGGTCTAGCTTCAATTGACTCATGATTTCAACTTTGAAATATACTGAAATCTCCACAAATCCCCTCCTGATTACTGTATATTTGTTAGAGTATATTGAATAACGACCATAAAACGATTTGATTTAATCATCTGTAAGTTATCCTAGTGTTTTCAGAAGTTCATTTGTTAAAAATGTTCTTCACTGCAGCTACTAAAAGTAGAGTATTTTAAAGATGATTAAGTTACTTAGTAACAAAACCGTTACGAAGAAAGTGTAAATAATTTACCATGTAATATAAACATATATTAAGCTTTTAAGGTAAGATTTTCAGTTGAGTTTGAGTATATAATCCCTACCTATGCATACATATACCTAAAACATATTTCATAAGTTCAAACAACCTGTAAATATTATTTGTGGTTCAATAGAATTAGAGATTAACAACTATGATTTATTCGTTTAGTTATCTTTTGAATACAGCCTTGTTTGAATCGTATTCATACTACATACTGTGAATGCATTTAATGTTCATTAATAGTAGCCTCAAAAGTTCTCAACTCAAACAATGTATATCTTTGCTTGTCCACGTTATTTATTGTTTTATGAAAAAAACAACAACTAGTTAATCATAAACTTTATTAGGTGAAGCTATCTAGGGGTACTTGAACTTATTATCCTTAGTTAAAATCGCACTTTAGCCTGCTATTCATAACGAATTATAATCTTTCAGACGGGTACTTTTGTTGTAAGTTTTTTGTTGTTGTAAATAATGTTCTTAATTGCACTTGAAGATCGAAACATGTATTATTAACATGAAATTACACATACAGCTCATCAATTGATACTAACAGGTATGTAAACAGGAACTAGAATGTTTTGTAAACTGATAGTAATTATTCAATAAAAAACAAAATGGATCTTCGTTTTTCACTTCATCTTATTCCAAAGCGATCATATTGTAAAATCAAATTGAATGAGATTACTCAGGATTGGAAATAAAATCATAAAGTTTGTTATATCCAATGATTAACTACTACATATTTTCAGAAGGGGTTTTTGTAGAGATTTTAGTAATTTTATAGTTGAAGTCATCAGTCAGTTGAAGCTAAACCACCATGGAAAACTCAGAAGCACTGGACGCCCGTTTCGACCTCAGCAGTGCTCATCAAAGATCCCGCCTCGCTAGATTCGAACCGAAGACCTATTGGTCTTACGTGCGAACGCTTAACCTCTAGACCAACAATGTTAATGTCTAACTTCAACCAATCGACGAAATTTAGCAACCGTCCAATATTGTCTTCAGTGATTTACTATCTCAAAACAGACCCGGTCGAACTCCACTGGTCACTGTTTCTCACTAGAACTCCAGGAGATATCTCTTGAAGCCAGTAACTGGTAAGCATATGATTATTATCAGAAAGGGGGTTTTGTGGAGGTACATATTTCATTCTCCTCTTTCTTGTGGTGATTGACTGGATTATGAAGACCCCGACATTTGAGGAGAAGCACGGAATACAATCGACATTTCAGAATTAATTAGACGATTTCGACTTCTCATATAACCTAGCCCTCCTATCCCATACACACGAACAAATGCAGATGAAGACAACTAGTGTAGCAATAACCTCTGTATCATTGGGCTTCATTGTACACAAAGGAAAAAACAAGATTCTCAAATACAGCACGCGGAACACCAATACAATCACACGTGATGGCGAACTTCTGGCAGATGTGAAAACATTCACGTACCTGAGAATCATCATTGATGAATAAGGAGGATCGGATGCAGATGTATAGGCGAGGATCGGCAAAGCAAGAACCTCATTCCTACAACTGAAGAACATATGGAACTCAAAACAACTGTGAATCAATATCGAAGTGAGAATCTTCAATACGAACGTCAAGACAATCCTACTGTACGGAGCTGAAACGTTGAGAACTACTACATCCATCATCAAGAATGTATTGGTACTTATAAGTAATTATCTACGCAAGATACTCAACATCCATTGACCGGATACCATCAGCAACAGTGTTTTATGGGAGAGGACAAATCAGCTTCCAGCTGAAGAGGAAATTAGGAAAAAACGTTGGAAGTGGATAGGACATACATTAAGGAAATCACACTTATGCATTACAAGGCAATCCCTAACTTGGAATCCGGAAGGGAAGCGGAAAAGAGGAAGGCCAAAGAGCACATTACGCCGGGAAGCAGAAGCAGATATGAAAATGATGAATAGCAACTGGAAAGAACTGGAAAGGAAGGCTCAGGTGAGAGTTGGATGGAGAATGCTAGTGTACCGCCTATTCTCCTCCACGAGAGGTAACAGGCGTAAGTAAGTAAGTAAGTAAGTACATATTTCATTCATAAAATGTAAACAAACTATAAAAGCTTTCTTTCTAATGATGATATAGTTGACAGTTCAATGGATTCAATTAACAATGTATTCATTAAATATGTTTATATTATTCAAAATACAAACTCCTTTGTTTAATAACAATGAAATGATCAACTTCAAAATGTTTCAGTTATTATTATACAATATATAAATGATACATAAGTAGAATAAATCTAATAATCAATCTAATATGTATGATAAACTGATGTTCTTCTAATTTGTATTTATTCCAAATACTTTATGGATAGACAAATGTTGTTTTACGTGGAATTATTTCTAATGATGAAAATCCTGAAAGAAGAAACTTTGAAAAGAAAGAAAAAAAGTAGAAGAAGAAGAAGAATAATTAACAATTAATTATCAGAAGGGGGTGTTTGCGAAATATTATAGTAATTTTAATAGTTGAGATCATGAATCAATTGAAGTTAGACCATCATGGAAAACCTTAAAGCACTGGATGGCTGTTTCGTCTTATTGTGGGATTCCTCACAGTGTGTATCCACGATCCCGCCTCGTGAGATTAGAACCCAACTATTTGAACTCAATTATTAAAATTAATTTTCAATTTATTTTTATTAACTATAGACAAAATTAACTTTAGGTAAAACTTTTATATTTCAATTAGTAGAAGGTATTCATTACAAACTAATTTCAATTAAGGTACTATTTAAATACTAAAATGTACATCAATAATAATAAACTAATCAGCTCACTAGTGACTTATTTCAAATAAGTTTCTGAAGTTTTGATCAATAGAGTTCAGACATATCTCAGTAGGAACATTTGTCACTAGAATTATTGAATAAACGTTGTGCTTAATAGTAAATTGATTGAAGTTGAAAATGTTTACCATTTAACAATAAACATGGCAGTTATAATTGTTACACACTCGTTTCAACATATGAAGGTTATGTGCTCTATCCCTGTAGAAGTTGTGAAGTGTTCAGTATCGAGACTCATACTAAAATGAAACAAATGTCTAATGATTCTTGATTCCTAACTTTGGGTAGATTCATTGTGAATACATTCTATAAAAGCAATGTTAGAAATAGTTGCTGAGAGACCTGTCTAATATGTGAAAGAATTTTCAATCTCAAGGATTAATTCATTTCAGAATAAAGAATTGTTGGGGACGTTAGATCCCCAGACCTCATTTGGTAAATGACTTATTTTTGCAATTTTATTTTGAAAATTTGAATATCTTTGTTTTCGTACCAAAAGCGCTCTTTTCACCTTCATGTGAGAATCCTAAACGTATCTTTCAGTATGTTATTTTGTAACGTTTCCCAAGGACAGTTTAATGCTGTATATATACGTTTGATTTCTTCCTGTTGGGATTACTTGTGATTCTGGCTGCTTACGGAATATATCTTCCCCACTTCCAGCCTGGGCTTTTTATTCTAGTTAGCGGGGCTGCGGATAACGGATTATAATAACCTATCGTGTAACTGTGTCTTTGACCTTTTTTACTTTTGCCGAGGAAGGTGAACTCGTAATAGCATCAAGCATATCAAGAATTATTCATTCACTGCAGTCTAACACTCACAAACTAATTACAATAAACTCTGTTGTATTTACAGAGATATTGTAACAAATAGTAATTCCTTGACTTTTTAGTGTCCCTGTATGACATCGTTATCTTCTAATATGACTGCATTGTTACTCAGATCATAAATAATATGACAGTTATTGTTAGGATGGAGGTTAGTGGAGATTATAGCAATTTTTAACACATCAATTCATGAGTCGATTTAACTTAGACCATTATGGAAAACCTGAAAGCATTAGACGGCCGTTTAGTCAAAGTATGGGACTTCTCAGCAGTGAGCGTCCACGATCCCACACGCGGGACTCTAACCCAGGACCATCGGTCTCGCATGCGAACACTTAACCTCTATACCACTGAACCGACTTCCAACTGTATTAATGTCTAACTTCAATCGATCCATGGTATTGTACAACCATATTTCAGTTGTAGACTTGATTACAAAAAAATTCATTTGAATTATTTTATTATTACTTACCAATATTCCAATCATACCAACTATAACTAATATCATAGCATGTCGAATAAGTAGAATTAAGTCATTTAATTTGTTCCAACAACCAATTTGGAAAAAGCTGTTTGATTCTGTAAAGTGATTTGGACATGTATAATCTCTTAAAGAGAATGTTGAATCCAATTGACAACATGTGATTGGATATTGAATATCTGCATTAATATAACAAAAATGAACTATTCAAGCAATTGATAAACATTTGTGCAATCAGTAATACAGAAACTAATTATTTAATTATTATAAATACTATTCAGTTCCAGTTTTACCGTTAGTACTGGGAAAGTACAATCAATTCAATGTGTTAGCGGCTATTCGGATACAATAACTCAGTTAACAATGCTCCTGAATCTCAATTTGAACATCAACAATGGAACGAAGATACATCTAGCTAAAGAGTCATAAATAGGACAAAATGTGACTCTTGGATTTCACTACTAACCATAATACAACCTATTCCATTAATTATAACGTTTAGATATCTTCCGTTCTGCTTTTGATTAACATTTTAAGACACAAGTCGATTTTACATTTTTTTTCAATTTTGGGGATTTGTAAAGATTGTAGTGCTTCCAGGTTTTCAATGGTGGTCTAACTTAGATTGACTTGTGAATTCCACTATTTTTTTTCTTTTCAACATATACAATAATAGGCTCATTGCACTAGCCTTTATTGACTGGATTTTAATAACAACACCATATACCCATCAATAACTTCAAATGGAGCAATAACTTACATCCACGTTGTAAGCAGAATTAATATCTGAACACGATAGAATAAAAGTCTAGTAATAAATTGTTTCTGATTTTATTTGTTTTTTTTATATTTTTCCTTAAAAAAGGTTTCCTGAACAAGATGATCAGAAGAAACGATGAATTAATTTAAAATTCGCTTGGTGTTGTTCACTTGTATCTTCCCATTGTTATTTAGGTCTACAATTGATCAGTCTCTTGTTGGCATATGTGCATACTGTGTGGACTGCCTCGATATTGCCTGAAGTCACAAGCTTTATGAACAAAGATGGGTAATGGCTAGTGGTGGAATCCAGTACGTGCGTTTTGTTCTATTTAAGACTCATCAGATGGATTTACCTGCACCTCAGAGTTGATGTTCACTCTTGGACTCGAACGCAGTACCTTTCGCTTCAAACGCCATCGCGTTATCCACTTAGCTACTGAGTACTGATTTAAGTTCAGTTTGTGAGATCTTTACAAATGTGAATCTTTTTGTTCACATTTCAGTCAATGGTTTAAAATTTAGTTGTTTTAATATAAATGAATAAATACTCAGTAATCATTTTTCATTGTCACAAAATTTCATTTACCTCCTATAGTTTACATATGTTAAAAGTAGAAACTATCAATCTATCCATCTATCTCTCATCATTCAAGATATCTAACGAATGTATAACTCTAAATATAGTCAACATCATAGACTTGACAGTGTTCTTTTGTTTCCTAGTATAGTTTAGTTTCATAGTTTGTTTCATTGATTCACTTTATCTCAATATTTAAAGCTATTAATCCCTTTAATAAGTTTAGATAGGGTAATAAGAAAACGAAAATTATCAGAACTATGCGATATATTAATGCAATACAATTCAAACAATCTGATTACGCTTATACACACTTAGATATAAAAATAAGTGATCAACTAGACAAATAAAAGGTAAGAGGAAACAAGAAGTTATATCCCATTGAGAATTATGATTGGTAAACCTTTGAGAACTATTTAAGGACTAATTGGATACATATATTTTTATTATTTAATTGTTAAGTAGCTAAACTATGCATATTCGTGTTCCTCTTATTAAAAGCTTTATTTTGACCCATAGACTTTTAGTATACGGTTTACCGTTCTTGAGTTATCCCTACTCTATTAATTACAGTCTCCCACATTCACAGCCACTTTTGGCTAAATCTTGTACAGATGTTGCTTTCTACTTTGTGGTGCGATGTAGTGTGTTTGATTTGTATATAAACCCAGTATATTTCAAATACATGATTCATATCGGAGATTCTGAGATTGGTATTCTGGACGTAACAGGCATGGCTAGGCAGGAAGTAGGACCGATAAGTACTCAAGACTGCTTGTACGGGTATACATGTCATTGGTCCGGTCGATAAATCACTGTTCTCTAATTGGCTGTATCATTATGTCACATATTAATAGGACACAAGGCCGCAAGTTATAAGACAAGGTTATCAACGTAAAACTGTCGAAAACTTCTTGGCCTTACACAGTTGTCTGACTAATGTCAGTAATCAATTTATAAAAATAAACAATCTTTAAATAGAGAACAAAATTATCCATATATTGATGGAACGTATTTCAGTTAATTTACCTTCATATTTTATATTTTGATAAAATTCATTACGAACAAATCGTGATTTTTCAAAATCTACACCATTATAGAAACCACAACAAGAAAGCTGAAAATTTTAAGAATTCAGATAAAAATTATTGAATAATTTAGAAAAATTATCCTATTAAACTGTATAAACAGTTGTAATTCGTTCATATAAATGGAATCTCTGGAGGTGGAATCGTGGATGCTCATTGCTGAGGAGTCTCACAATAGGACAAAACGGCCATCCAATGTTTTCCATGGTAGTCTAGCTTCAATCGACCCATGATTTTAACTATAAAATATGGATTGTTGCAGTGATAAAACAATGAAAGACAAGCAAAAGTCTAGTCACTTAGACTAGTGGCCATATTACAATTTAGTCAAAAGGATTTGATTCGCACTATGAAGAAACCTGACATACATGACACTGATCACATTGATTACTTGAAACTATCTTGTTTCTTATGCAGTTATAACATCAGCTGTGTACGTAAAATTTTCTCTTTGAAAAAGCATTCTAAAGTTGGAAACTACAATTAGCTAAACATTTTTGATACTCATCATTATTAGAAAGGAGGCCTCTATAGACTAGATAAAACAGTTTCCCTTGTGTCACATGGTCAAGATACAGGAATTTTATTATAATTGAGTGCAAATATACATGTTATATTATAAAAACGGGTATTCATTAGTTTACTCTGTTTTTTTTGTGGTTAACAAGAGACTCAACTTTTTACTACAAAATTAGTTTCGGCAAGAAGGTGGGACATGGTCAGGAATATTATTCAATTAGTGTTGCATGCCTAATGTTTGGGAAATCAACTGGGAATGGAATACAACAAATTGTATAGAAATCTGTTTTTGAAAAACAATATTATTATTATTATTATTATTAATGGCTTTATGTATGCTACTTATGCTTGCAGTTACAAGTAGTATATAACACCAGTCTGATGTGGAAGGTCTGTGAGCAGAAGATTGAAAAGAACTAAATGAAGAAAAGATAAAAGGAAACTGGAAGCGATCAGGATGATAACAGAACTGAAGAAACAATGAAGCTTGCACGAGACTACTCAAAGAAGATGTGTAGGTGACGTTTTTGATGCATGATTTTCTCATTTTTCACATTTTGCCAAACCATTGTGTATGTTTTGGAGAAAACATTTGGGTAAGTAATTCAATGATTCAATACTCCTACCTTGATCCTTCATTAACTTGATTAACTCTGTTTATGTTGCACCGTGTATCCTGAGTAGTTTTTTTTTAATTTTTCTCAGGTTAAATGATTCCTATCGATGCCATTTTACATTTCGCACTAGTTTATCTTGCTAAACAGCATTAAAACAAGCAATAAAGGGGTGTTCACAAATCCTTTACAAAAGGACATAGTTATGAGCAGAAAGTGCTTATAATGTGAAGCCATTTTAGACAACATTTAATTGAAGTGGGAAGAAATCATTCGCAGCATCATTAAGGATACATCAATACCAAACTGTTTAAATTAAGCTTATCATAGTCAAGTATAACAATATACATTTTAAAATGGCTTAACTTAAATTTCAGGAGAAACGACTATGTAGTGTATGCTTCTTATGTTGACAGGCATATGTAGTATGTGACAGTAATCGGAAGTGGAAACGTTGATAGAAGAAGGTTCAGAAGATCAAGTTGAAGAGAATATGTAGGGAAATAGTTACAATTAAAAATGACTTTTGATGATCTGTGTATATAAGTGATAATATTCCCATTTCTAGATTGATTTTATTACAGAATGATTCAAATTATGACGAAAACAAAATCAGGAGGATCGGATAAATTATTTACGTAGTATGAAACTCTGAAATTGTCCCCACTTTAATATCACTCAGGGGATGTAATAAAGGACTTTCACTTCTCATAGCATACTCTCATCTCTTAGATTACTGAATAGGAATCCAAAATTTTTGTTCCAAACATCATTCAATTCGTGATGTGACACAATAATTTTCCAATCTTATCTATACTGTCAGCCGCATCCTTACATGACAGAACTTCAGTGGTGACGATTTTCCATGAGAATCTCTTAATCTTATCTTGAAGCAAGTATATTAGTGTCTTATATCAATACTTAAGGAGAATCACCTACAAATAGGCTACATGTTAGCCCAATATACTTTGTTCACTTCTAAGAGAATAACGGCTGAAAATTTTAAACTTCAAAAAAAAGATTACTATTTCTAGTCAAAGCAGTTAGTGATAAGAGTAGTTGCACGAACTTCACTGAATAAGTCAACAAGTAAGTGAATCGTCATTTGAATAGTTTAACTATTCAGTCACTGATCAATGTCTTTTTACAGCGATTCATATCATTTGTATACACGAAACCTAAACACTGTAATGCAAATAAGTATCATAAAATATACTTACCAAAGGCATTAAAGTTGCTAAAATCACACTATCCGCTTCATTAGACCCCACAGAATGATAATTATTAATTAATAACTTCAGTTGGTTTTTAATAGGAATGTTTATCTAACAAGAATATAATGAAATAGATTGAAAATGAAGTTACGAGTATCTGTTTTTTAGAAATAAAACTTGCAAAACTGTTAGTTAAACGTGTTGTGGAGATTTCCGTATTTTAAGGGTAATATCACAGACTGAGTTTAATTAGAGACCTAGTGGAAAGCATGAAGCACTTGATAATTAATACGCCCAAGTATCGCGTTCCCCAGTAGTACACATGCACGACTATAGGCCACTGAGTTGGTATTAATTGGTTTACATTTCTAACTAGTCTATTTGCGCTATCGCTTGAACATCAGAAATTTTCGTTGTTAAAGTTAGTTTAATATCTAACATGGATTAGGTGTATTGGTAATAGGCTCTCACTAGAACCTCTAGAATTATCTTTTCAGTATTGATTCGTATTTTTATGGCGATTGAACAAAGTTCGCCTTTTTCAATGAACTTCATTTTAACAAATGTATGGTTTACCTAAGACACACAACCAATAGCTGTTAAATGTAGATGATGAGAATAAGAAACAAATAAGATGATTTCAGTGTAATTCTGTTGCTCAAGTTTGTGAAAACTGACTGAAATATGTTCAATAGTTAGGTTTTACTGTTTAACTGATTAAGAGCCGACTGGATTTTACGAAAAAAGTAATATCAAGGATTTTTTTTTCCAGATGATATACTCATCCACAGTTTTGCTTGCTCTTATGGAACTGGTCATGCTTGCCGAACAAAGAGAGAGCTCTAAAAACGCATCTCTTGATCACTTTATAAACTGGGGTCACTTTACCTCACCTCTATCCTACTCGAAAGTTATGCATTATCTCAAAGTGTTTCAAAATGATTACAAACCCAAAACTTATGTATAGTAGTGAATTTAACAGTTTGCTGAGTCCTGGCTAATCTCTGTGTTCAAAGGCACCTTTTCAGTTTGTCATCTTATCGCTTTGTTTCGTCAATAATTCATTAGGTTTCTTTATTTATTTAAAACTTTTCTGTTTATTTTCCGAAAAAAAATGGATTCAAATAGTCAAGTATGAACATCAGATATATGAACATTTCCCTACATTGCAGAAGATTTGATTGAGAATGACCGTAGAGTTGAAACCGAATCAGCATTTGTAGCGTTGAATAGAAGTTTTGTAGATAGTATAGTAAGGTTTATTAAAGTCCTAGACATTTACGAATATGAAACTGTTCTTTTTGTTCAAAAGTAGTTCATTCTCTTATTGAATCTATTCTAGTAATGTTAATTTCATATGTACTGTAGTATGATTCAAACTGTTTTCCCCAATCAATGTTTGTTTTCTCCTACTTTCAAATGCATGATCAGATTGTTCTGAATGTACTGAATTGATATAGCAGATATTCTTCACATTGTATTACCTAAATTATCTTTTTTTCTTTTGAGGTAAAGAGTTTCAAATAACCGATCTCATGATTATTCAGTTTTGTATTGCTTACTGACGTTTGTTTTTCCATTTCTTTTAATGCATTTATCATGCATACTCATTTGAATATTGGGTCAATTTTTAAAAACAAAACATAACATATACTTCAAATTCAATTGGTATTGTTTGTTTGAATCTACCCATCGATGTTTAGGACTACAACTGGTCAGTCTCTAATAGGCATATACGCATACTGTGCGTATTGCCTTGATATAGCCTTAATTCACAAGCATTAGACGCAAAGATGGATAGGACGAAACGCGCGTCAAACTGGATTCCACTGCTAGCCACTATCAATCTTTGCTTACCATGCTTTTGAATTAAGGCTTTATCGTGGTAATACGCACAGGATGCACATATGCCTATTAGAGACTGACCAGTTTCAGTCCGAAACATCAATGCGAATATTCAAACGAACAATACTAAGTGAATTGAAATTGTATTTGTTTTAAATTATTAAAACTCAGTTTATCAAGTGCGATAATATCATGCTGTGATTAATCGGTTATGAGTTCACCAATGGATCTTCTTCTCGATCATTAAGTATATACTATCTGATCAAATGTTTGCTGAGTGTTCTGTTGCTCATAGTTCAGCGTAAATGATGTACAATTTTAAAGTTGATAAATGATGAACGTTTACATAGTACAATGCTGAAATTTTCGACGTAAGCTATTGTGATGTAGTTTAAATCAAGAATGGTCTGTTGAAAGGGATGAATATGAGAATATATATATATATATAACTCATTTAACTCATCTTTTCTGTACATTTTAGTTGGCAGTAAAACAGTCATTGTGAAATTCTTAGATTCGCCGTAAACCAGTATCTAAATCGATTTTATTTCAGTGACTGAACCTAGCATTTCTTGTATAAAAGTTGAACAGGAATTAAACCCAACTGTTAATTATTTATGTATTAGCAAGTGAGTATTTGACAATGCTGATTAGTATTCTATCCACTGAGTATTACAAATACACATCCTGTTCATTTATCAAGTCTTCCTCTATAACTGAATCAGTAGAGCGATGATTAATAATTCTATTCGTTTAGTTAAAAGTTGATCTTAGAAATTTTTTTTAAAATATGTGCAAACTGTTCTATCAGATGCATGAATTTGGAGCAACATAAGAAGACATTTCTTTTCCTTTTCATACCCAATTCATCTGTGATATACCGATCAACATTTATTTGACATGCGGCTGGTTGGCACATACATAAGCAGAGTATGATAATTCTGAAATACGAGTTCAGATATATTATGCTAAGGTACTTCGTCTTAAATCAATCAGGGTAGATAAATGATAATTACTTCAGGTTTTCTTTCACTCTGTATTGAAAAATGTAGTTGTTTGGATTAACGTTTACAATATACTCTCAATTCTCCGGTATATTTAATTACAAGGTGGAATTTGCAATAGCAAAAGGCTAGAGTATTCTTGCCTGTTGAAGATGACTATTGGTATCCAGATTTAATAAATCTACAGAAGGGTTCAAGACTGGTTCTTGTCCATAGTTTAAGGAATATTATATATTTTATATTATATTATATATTTTATATTATATATTTTTAGGCCATCCACTTTTTTGACGAATGAAACTAAACTACTTTTAAATAAATTAAGTAGGCCAGAAATTTTATAAGTTTTGTAAGCCTTTTGTTCTACGTTTTGCTAATCGATTTCAACAAATAATTGGTAAATTACTCATAAACTCAAACAATAAACTTACTATTTCTGGGTCAGAAGATTCTGTTATCAGCCAAACTGATAGTAATACAATAGAAAGTGCTAATAGAAGGATGTACTTGGGAAAAAAAACAAATTCAATGCAAGAGATAAATAAGAATTATTTTTTCTTAAACATAGAGTTCACAATACATGCACTCAGACAGCTGTCAGGGACCAAAATTGATAACTTAAGAACTAGCTCTTGAGTTCATGACATTTGGACCACCAAATCGACATTAAATGGATCATAATTTCAAATTCAGTGGTTTAAAATCCTTTTGATACACAGCATAGCTTACCACTAGATAAATTATTTTAAACTCACGTGCACTGTATAAGTTTTGTATAGTCAATATTAAGCCAGTCGCTAGTGACAGTTGAGAATATGTATTCAAATTATGAGTTCTACAATTGAATCTGGTTCCTTTCATCAGTCTTTTATCGTTTGTAACTGATAATATTGTTTCATTTTAGTTTGGAAAGTAAACGTTAGGTTTCTCTTATTAGTAATATTAAATTTTAGAATTTTAATATTGTGGCTTGTAGTAAGATTCACGAGAAGAGTTTGATCCTGCCTGAGAATCATTATTAATCGTGATATTAATACTCGACTATATCCAAATGATGAGATCTTTCTATAGTTCAGTGTCTACTACCAGTCATATCTATAACGAAAACCTGAATCGAGCCACTCTTTTGAGGATGCATACAAACTAACGAAGATTGGTCAAAATTAACTTCTACATATTATTAAGGCGAAAATCCAAAACCTTTACAAAAAATATGTTTCAATGAACATTCATAGTAACTCCACCTATAGCTCTTCTAGGGCTAACGACGATCCCAAGCCCGGGTAAAAGAGTAGAGTTGAGCGTGTGGTCTGTATCCACATTCCGTAAAAAAACAACCTTGCTAAAAATACGCTAACAAGAACGCTGATAGTAATATATAGTAGTAATAAAAAGGATTTCACTTACGACGAAAATAATAACCTTGCTACGAAAACAAATTCCAATCATCCCAAAACACAAAATTATCAAAAGAAATACGGTAACAATAAAAACTGCCAATGTTAGATGATCTAAAAAACGAGACAAACAAATAAACAAGAGAGCTAACAATAATTAGTTTTTTTTCTGTAACTTATACGAGTATTCGGATCGCACACTAAATGTCATATTCTCACTTCGTATTGAAAAACCTCAGTTTGGACAAACTTTCTAAAATTGATGCTATTTTTAAAATGACCTTGGTTAATAAACGGTTAGGAATCATTAAAAGTAAACTGTACAACTTAGTTCTTTTTCAATTGCACAAGCAAGTGACTATCAGGACTCAGTAGCTGAGTGGATAACGCGATGGCGTTTGAAACGAAAGATACTGGGTCTGAGTCCCAGTAAGAACATCAACTCTGTAATGCAGGTACATCCAGTTAACGAGTTCCAAATGGTACGAAACGCGCATCCTGGATTCCACTCCTAGCCATTGTCCATCTTTGCTTATAAGTTGATTAAAAATCACCGATACTGAGTTCTATTCATTTAAAATCTGATAAGCATCTGAATAATCATTCGTTTAAAAAAATTCTCTCTTTTGAAAGCAATTTACGTCCACTCTGAAAGTTTGGTACCTGGTTGTTTTAACTTATTTACACTTATGAGTGGTTTCTGGCGAACAGATCGTATTGTGGTTAGTTAGTTGTTGTCCAGATAACATTGGGAATAGCCTACTGTGGGAGAGAGCAGACCAGCTTCCAACAGAGGAGGAAATCAGGAAAAGACGTTGGAAGTGGACCGGACATACATTATAGATATCATCAAACTGCATCACGAAGCAAGTCCTAACTTGGAATCCTGAATGGAAACCGAAAAGAAAGAGGATAAAGAACACACTGCAACAGGAATTGGAAGCAGATATGAAAAAGTTGAGTAGCAATTGAAAAGAACTGGAAAGGATTGTCCAGGACAGGGTTGAATGGAGATTGCTGGCGTGTGGCTTAAGATCCTCGACGTGGGCAACTTACTTATTTACTTATGATTGTTACCTCTCGTGGAGAAGCATAGACCGCTCGCCAGAATTCCGCACCCAACCTTGTCCTGGACAATCCTTTCCAGTTGCTTTCCATCTTTTTCATATCCGATTCCAATTCCTGTTCCAGCATGTTCTTTATTCTCTTTCTTTTCGGTTTCCCTTCAGGATCCCAAGTCAGGACTTGCCTCATGATGCAGGTTGGCGATTTCCTTAATGTATTATTATTATTATTAGCTTTATTCAATATTATATTATTTGGTACAAAATCGAATTCTCAGCATAAAGTATTTCAACATGTTTGCGTTTCTTATTTCTTCGTTGCTCCTGATGATAAACATTCAGTGATCGCCAGTTGGATGTCAGCAGTTCAGTCAATCGACATATGAATAATGTATATTCTTTTTGCTGCATGTTCCCAGCAAACACGACATCTCTGATTAGGCCTTTTGTAACCTTTACAGCGAAAGGTTGTACAGTTTTCAGAAACGCACCTGAATAGGTTGTGTGCTTAATAGCCATAATGATGTATTAAAACACACAATATAAGATAACTTGTTGAAATATATAGATGACAGGAACAGGTAGCCCAGATGTTTAAGCAGGCCGCCGTAGGTATGTACTATTCATGAGATGGCCATCCTACAAATGTATCTCATGCTTCTCTGGACAATATTAGTGAAACTACTTTAGTGTGTGGAGCATTTTCCTCTTCGTGAACAGAGTACAGATGTGTCCCCCCCTGAAATGAAACTCCTTTATGAAAAACAATTTTTTTTCAGATCTCAGGTAACGACACTTTATAGATGAACGTCGATAGCCTTCTTACTGTTGACCTGATCATTCCTTATAGATATTTCTTAAATTTTTTACTGTGCTTTTTGCAAAATATGAACATTCAATTCATAGAGATTTCAGTTGACCATTGATTTTTTTAAAAAATAAAAAATAGGAAAAAACCAATGTTTTTTTCATTTGGCATATACCTGTTGCTAAGCGCATATGATCTATCAACCTTTGAATGGTAGTTTCATCAGCATAACTATTGACTTGTTTTAATATTGGTAATAGTAATGATTTCATGATAAATTGTAAAATAACATCAGACCATTTCAGTATACCAAGAAATGCTACGGCAATAGATAAAATACACTGAAAAAAAAACAATAAAATATAAAAGCTTAAATTAGTTGATGTAATCAAATAATGTAACGAAAAAATAAGTATAAACATTCATTCACTTGGTATTGTTTGTTTGAATCTTCCCATTGATGTTTAGGACTGCATCCAGCTGATAAGTGCCAAATAAGACGAAACGCACGTCAAACTGGATTTCACTGTTATACATCAATGGGAAGATTCAAACAAACAATACCAACTGAATCCAAACTTCAACCCATTGCACAAGCAAGTGGCTATCAGGACTCAGTAGCTTAGTGGATAGCGCGATGGCATCTGAAGCGAAAGGTACTGAGTTCGAGTCCCAGAGTGAACATCAACTCAGATTCAGGCGGATTCAGCTGACGAGTCGCAAATAGGACGAATTGCGCGTGCTGGATCCCACTGCTACCCACTATCCATCTTTGTTTATAAACATTCATGTTTTTGCACTTTCAATAAAATGATTCATGAGATGCATCTGTAATATTTCAGGGAAGAAGAAAACTTCGATAAACTATGTAAGTAGTTAATGTGAGGATACATGGTAAACAGTTATGAGGTATCTTTATTATATTAAAGTTATATGAGGTATTTTATTTTCAGAAGACGATTTTGTGGAGACTTTAGTAATTTTATTATTTGAATTCATTAGTCTATTATTGCTAGACCATCGTGGAAAACCTGGAAGCACGGGACGGCTGTTTCGCCCTAGTATGGGACTTCTCATCAATGGGCATCCACGATCTCGACCTCGGGATTCGAACCCAAGACCTATCGTTCTCGCGCGTGAACGTTCAATCTCTAAACATGCCATATTATCATTATTATCATAGAGGGTATAAGTCTTCGCATTGTTGATATTTAGAAGTACATTTTAGTGTAGTTTTCCATTACATGTCTTAGTATACTTAGATTGTGACTGTCAGTGTAGTCCAAAACCAGAGTTTCATAACTTATGTGATAAATCAACAGGTTGTCCATGGAAATAGTTACTATGATTTAGATGCATTCAGTTCACAAGTTATTAAATAGACGAAGCCTTTGACCCAAATTCTTCTTCAAACCTCAGTCCATCAAATTCAAAATGGTATTTAACAACATGTTTATTTCATTTATTTCACTGCCATCTTCAGTGCTATCTTCAACTAGTTGTACATAAAATGAGTTACTTATCCATCATTAGTGAATCTTACTAAGCCATAAAGTAATTTGAAAATCTGACAAATAATAGCGGTCGTGTCGTATTTCTCATCATGTGTTTTATACACAGAAAAAATATGCCATCGTTAGTTAAAAATTAAAAAAAATAAAATGTTGATATCAATCACTATTCAGAACTAATTATCCTTCTAAAAATGTTTTTTTCTCTTTTTCTATTAAATATCAACACGATCATGGCAGCTTATATTGTGGTGTGGTCTACTTATATCTATATAAGTAGTATATGGTGTGGATCAGACATAGAATGTATTTTGGCAGAAGACCGATGAGGAAAGAACTGAAATGAAGCGCAATCGTTTGGAAAATGCATGAGCAATGGAATAAGATAAGAAACGGTGAAGATTGAAACAATTGGTTGTTAATTTGCAAATTGACTGTTCATTGTTTCGTTATCAGAATTTACTGAGATAGTCTGTAATCTTTGCTTAAATACATTTGATTGTCCCCAACCAGTGTTCTGTTCACTACAATATGACAACTTAATTAGGTAAAAAAAACGTATGGAGTGCATATATATATATATATATTGCATTTATTATAGGTTTAACATGATTCGTTGCTAAGTTGTGCTAAAAGACTGTGTGCCTGATAAACAAATAAATAAATAAGTTACACTCAATAGACAGGGAAGTATTTCCTTCTAAAATCAATTGAACTACAATCCTATAAGTCTATACTTACTAACAGAAGAATCAGTTACAAAATTACCTAATCAACTCATACTATCAGTCTACTTGAAGACTATTTATTCAACTGATCTATTTTTAAAAAAAACAATAACACAGAATTCTTGATTTATAGCTATAGGATGGTATTTTTCTGTCAGTTAGATATGTTATGTGACATAGATCAAAATCAATTATAGTACTGAAGCTGTATATATTTTTCTATAATTATCTAGTTGGTACTATTTCAATTTTCCGTTTAAGCTATATTTAAAACTAAATGATGTTTAAAGGTTTCGTTCGTCATAGATTTATCTCAGTTGAGATATCACTGGACACCAGGAACACTGGACATCTTGTTCGTTCTGGTACAAGACTCCCCGTCTGTACACATCCAAACTCGTATAGATGTTATTGATCATTAGTCTTTGCTTAAAGCAAACTTGTTCAGCAACACAAGTTTTAACCATTTGTCTATAGGCTCTATGTCATCTACTATAATAAAGTTCATACAGTTAGATAGTATCATAAAACGATATATACGGGTAGTGTAACTCAAATCTGATTTATTAAATTGATGTTTGACCATTATATTAAGTCAATATGACTGATTAGTAAATGAATTTTCTTAATGTAATAGGGTTATAGTTTACAATTAACTATCACTTATCATCATTCATTTTTTTCTGATATTATAACTAAATTTTTCTAGACTAATTTAGATTGTTGGTAAATATTTTTTTATGTGTGGATCCAATTGGCTTTTGAACTTTCGGTCTAGTTCCGTATTAATTTGATTCCATTGAAAGTTTAAAAGTATTGTTTCTATAAGTATTAATTACACAGATAGGCGATTAAATACACTTGATTGGAAGTTAAGTTGTATACTAATCGGGATCTATCAGGAATGAGTTATATGAGTAAGGTTCAAAAAAAAAGAAAAAAAAAAGTGAGACTATATAGTTAAAATGTGTACATCTGTAAAGATTCAAAAAATGGTATGATAATAGTAATAATTTTCCAACTAATTTGTGGTAACTTTGAATTCAATTTCACCTACTTCAATTTGGTCAGTTTAACAATCTGATTACATTTTATAGCAAAAAAATACATGAAATCTAATTATGTGGAATTCTATCAAAGAAGTTTCTTAGATAACGTAATTGGTTTTAAAAAACCTGTGAAAGCCCTTTGACTACTTCACTTAGGGTTGAGAATACAAATTATCGTATAAATTATATACAATCATTGATATAAAATGAGGTCACTTCAATCAAGTTGTAAATAATAAACAACCTGATCAAATGTCTAACTTAAAAATAATTCTTGTTTAATGAAAACAATAGCAAATATATAGTAGACTATGTTCGAATGTCCTCCAAATCTCAGAAGAAGAAAGGAATATGATGGACAGTTTACATACAACTACACGCTTTGAACTTTACAGAAGAACTAACCCTTCTATCCCATACACACCTGCAAATACAGATAAAGAAAACAAGTGTAGCAGCAGCCTCTACAGCAGTGGGCCCCAACATACACAAGGGAAAAAACAAAATCCTGAAAAACAACACAGAGAACAACAACCCAATCACACTCGATGGAGAAACTCTGGAATATGTAGAAATGTTTACAAACCTGGTAAGCATTATCGACGAACAAGTAGGATCTGATGCAGCTGTGAAGGAAAGGATTGTAAAAGCAACGGTAGTGTTCGTACAACTGAGGAACATATGGAACTCAGAATAACCGTCAATCAACATCAGAGTCAGAATCTTCAATTCGAACGTAATGACAGTTCGACCGTATGGAGCTGAAAGTCCAAGGATTACTACTACTGCGATCAAACAGGTAAAAGTGTTCATAAACAACTATCTACGCAAGATATTAAACGTTCATAAACCGAGGACCATCAACAACTACCTACTGTGACAGAGAACAAACCAACTTCTAAGTGAAGAACAAAAATGGAAAAAAACACTGAAAGTGGGCAGGACACATATTGAGAAAATGGCCAAACTGCACGATGAGGTAGACTGTAACGTGGAATCCTGAAGTGAAGAGGAAAAGAGATAGACCAAGAAACATATTGTGTCGAGATTTTGAAGCAAACATAAAAAGAATGAATAGCAACCGGAAAGGATTGTCCAGGTTAAAGTTCCATAGAGATTGTTGATGGGTTGACTATGCTTTTCCACGAGGGGTAACAGGCTTAAGTAAGCCTGTAAGTAATATTCGATTGTCCAATAACGGTATTCTTCAGCTTCCTAGTTTATATTTATGAATTTAAAATGTTATTGACATCTGTGCAAGTGGCCACTGCTAGCCATTATCCATCTTTGCTTATAATAGTTGCTTAGATTTCTGCATGAGATTTAGAAGACAGAAGTTTACGTCTAAAAATCTGTGACTTCAAAGTATTAATTATGTTTTGTTCAAAGAATTCAAAGAATTAACCGAGAATATATGGTTTCTAAATAATCTTTTTACACCATGACTTGTTGAGTTGAATGATGATAACTTCAGATATATACAATACATGTATGCATAAACTATATATGCAATTCGGTAGTATACGATTAATACAACTGATGGTTTTTGAAAATTTAAATTCTGTCCCATGACAATTAACTCAGTAAATATAGATTCATTAAATGCCCTTAATTGGACGTTATTTAACTATACAAAATGGGTTTCAGAAGTTTGGTGTCGGACTTTTCAAATTATACTACCGATAAAACTAGCTACAAAAGAACTTTCTGAATTTATTTATCCACGTTAATGCCAGAGATTTATACTGTCTGTCTGCTATTACGTCTAAGGATCGGACAGTTGTACAATAAAATGAATAAGTTGGTTAAAGTAACTGTTTTCTTCTGGTCTGTTTTACCCAATGCATGACCATTTGGTATGTAACTTTTTCACACATTTTACCAATGTGCTTTGTTTATTTACCATTAATAGGTTTACGACATTACATTAAACTATTCACTTTTTATCTTAGATTTACTTTGATAATCACTCACTTTATATTTACATCATATTATGGTGTCGGTTACTTATATCCACATAAGTAGTATATGGTGATGGTCGGGCATAGAATGTATTTTGGCAGAAGATCAATAAGGAAAGAACAAGAACGAAGAGCAATCGGTATGAAAATTTATCAACGATGAAATCAGAGAAGATGAATTGATATTTACCGAAGGAATGGTCAAAATTGAGACAATTAATCGCTATTTTACAAATTAACTATTTACTGTATGGTTATCAGATTTTAGTGAGATAATCAGCACCCGTGTCCTGTTCACTACAATATCTTTGGATTTGTGTCGATGAGTACAGACATTGTTACTATTGTATGATATATGTATTAGTATGGGAACATGATGGAAGGCTAATTTGAAAGAAATTCTTCTTTGTACTATTCTGTTATTTTTTTCCAACTACCTGAACTGTAAATTCAATTTAGTATTACAGGTATCATTACCAAGACTTGATTTGATAATTTTGAATAAATTGAGCATTGGGTAGATTGTTATAAATAAATTATATATTTGTAATATCCCAATGAGTAGAAAAATTAGATTTTCTGACGTTTCGTGACTCAGTGTAAGCCACTTCTTCAGAAAATAAATAACCAAATTAATATTAATCCAAGTTTATTAAATTGAAAGATGCTAATTATATTCTTTTGTTCTTTTTGTTTGTCCTCTTCTGAAGAGATGATCTTGTTGGCTCTTCTAACAAGATTTAAGGCTAACGAAATTTTAGCACTGAAAGGATGTGCTGAATAGAAGTCGATGTAACGATTGGAGTGTGTGGGCTTTCGGTAGATGGATAAATTTAGAACTCCATTTATATTTCTTTTCACTAAGCAATCTAAGAACGGTAGCTCTCCATGTTCATTTTCATTCTCATTCGTGAATTTGATGTGAGATGAAAGTGTATTTAACAGTTTTGAAAACGATCTCAGATGCGTCTTTTTTATTACTACAAATGTGTCATCTACATATCTGAGCCAAATTCGTGGTTTAATTTCGTTGGAGAAAATCTTTGATCCTATGTGTGTCATAAAAAGATTGACCACAATCGGGGACACGGGAGAACCCATTGCTACACCATTTGTTAGTCTATATAACGTTCCGTTGAAGGTGAATAGAGTTGAATTTAAGCAGAGTTTTAACGATCTCATGATTAAACTGATGCTTAAAGGACATCTGTCCGATAGAGTAATGTCATTCTCTAGTAAGCCACTAATGAATTCTAAGCATATATCAATCGGAATACTAGTATATAAAGATACAACATCAAAGCTTACCATGACTTCATTCTTTTCAATAATTAAATCCGATAATTTTGATTTAAAGTCATATGTATCTTTAATCATATTATGTACGTTAAGCTGTAGTGGTTTTAATATGTTGCTTAGATATTTAGATAAAGCATATGTCGGTGTGTTGGTAAAATCTACTATCGGTCTTAGAGGAATATCTGGTTTATGAATTTTCGGTAAACCATAAAACCGTGAAGTATTACATGATTTGGGATACAAAGCAAACCAAAGCGAAGCCCCAATGACTGGTTTTAGCTCTTTCAAAAGTTCACTTGTATCTGATTTGACTTTATTTTTCATCGTTTGCGAATTTGATTGATTGATCTTTTCATAAGGTCCTGTTGCAAGATGTTCAAGAGCTTTATTAACATAATCTATTCTATTCATGACTACTGTTGTGTTACCTTTGTCTGCTTTCGTGATTATGATCGCTTTGTCCTTTTTAAGCGAATGTAGGGCCTTGTATTCTTCTTTTGAGATGTTTGGTGAACTTTTATTTTTATTCTTTCTTTGTAGTTAGAAAAACCTTTCTGTAGTATTTTGATATTTTTGAAATCAATTTGATGACTGTTGAAAATGTCGTGAACTGCTATTGCCGATTTAATCTGAAGTCTACTTAATTCTACAGGATTATTAGGCGGTTTCTTTGTGTACCTGATATGTTCTTTAGCGCGAGTTAAGATTTCGCGAAATGACTCTCCAATATAAAAGGCATCACAATCGACACAACCTAATTTGTAGACGCAGTTCTGTGTAGACATGAATGCTATTTTTTCTTTCAATCGAACTAAAGTATTTCTAAGTGCGTTCGTTGTTTTGTAATATACTTTAATTCTGTGTTGTCTTAATATCCGTTGGAGTTCTTCAGTTGTGCCATGACGGTATGGTAAGACTGCAGTACCAATCCATGGCATTTCATTCGAATTATTATTATTATTGTGTACTGAATTGTCTTGTTTTAATATACTTCTAATAATTTTCATAGGAAAATTATTAAATTGTAAGATGCTAATTATATTCTTTTGTTCTTTTTGTTTGTCCTCTTCTGAAGAGATGATCTTGTTGGCTCTTCTAACAAGATTTAAGGCTAACGAAAGCTTCAGCTACTCGCTGAAGCTTTCCATATAATGCTTAATCCCACAGCTCTCAATAGAAAGGAAGGCCTTACCATACAGCCTACTTGGACCATTTATCCTAGTCACTCAGTCTGATATTATTTACAATTTCACACCATTACATTACAAATCAAACTCTATCCTTTATAATTATAAAGGTCACACAGTTTTCATTATTAACAGTGCATACATACACACAAAATTACATCCATGTCGCTTATGAATCACCTTGACCGAAATGACGTGACAGTGATTTATTCAGACCTGTTTTTGATTGATCACCTAATATTCTTTGATTGCTCCGTTGTACTATTTAAACTTGGATTAATTTGGTTATTTATTCTCTGAAGAAGTGGCTTACACTGAGTCACGAAACGTCAGAAAATCTAATTTTTCTACTCATTGGGATATTACAATTATATAATTTATCAACTTAGTATTGTTTGTTTGAACTGTAATTCATTTTTTTACTGAAACAATTCTGGATGTAGACCATTTGCAAGCTAATGAATATCAGTACTATTTGTACATATATATTATAGGAACTAGCACTTATTTCAATGATTTGCACCAGTTTGTGTGTTTGACATCAAATACAAAGCTGAAGTAGGCTAAAAAATAAACTTACCATTAGGATTGTACTAATTAATGTGTGTAAACAAACTGTAATAAGGCCCATTTCTTTGTATACATCAACAATCTCTCTGAAAGACAAAATTTCAAACGATTTAAAATGAATTCATCTAGGATGGCTGAAAGATTTTTAAAGTTAATCCAACATAAACCTAATTAACACCTTAATATAACATCACCATAAGAAATGAACACTACTTTTCATTCCAGTTTTAGATTTCATAACAGTATATACAGACAATTCTACACGGAATCCGATCGAAAACATTCAAATCATGGAGTGAATATGTTATCACTGAATATTTAAATGTCACAAGTCATGGTGTCTCAGTTTGTGATTAAAGCAAATGTTTTACACCAAATAACTAGTTTGAAAATCAATCTGATTATAGGTCTGTTATATTATAATAGGTAATTCCAAATAGTTAATCTTACTGAAGTCAATGATGTAAATCATTGATTAACATACTCACCACAATCCCTAGATGAATCATGAATTTTCACTATCAATAAGTTTCAAAGTATGATGAAAATAGAAACTAATACTTTCTGGTTTCCAAGTGTTACACGATCAACGCCAATTCCTTAGGTTTATTATATTTAAAACCATTTCAATAGTATACTTGTAATATCGATTAAACTGCCCCCAAATGCCCTGTTAAGGCCGAGAGTGGGGAGATTCCGCTCTTCCTCTCGAAATGCTCTCACATGGCCACGCGTATATAGCCTCTGCCAGAGAAGTCCTACTCACTACCTTCTCGTGGCATTACTGTTGTTTACGAAATTGAGAGGACGGAAAGCGAATGTCCGGCGCTTTAACCGGGTTTGTGGAAAAGGAAAGTTCATATGGGAGAGTCGGAAAACCCTGATTCCAAACCAATGGTTCACATGAGCTCCAGTATCCTGAAGGAACAGATGGCACATAAATCAATCGTTGATCACTGGTTACCATAGGACTGCAACTCCTCATGATGCTCCACTGCCTTGTGGATCAGACCTTTAGGTCAAGGCTCTGGGTATGGTCCCCTGAGAAAACCACCTGCTTCAGTTTGGGCACCTGAGCAGTATCATAGCCTTCACACAAATCAAATGAGATTTGTGTGGCGCATATGTATCTGGTGCCCCTTTGTACCAATATTTATATGTTTAAATAAATAAATAAAATCGATTAAACTTATTCACTGATTGTTTAATATTTAGATAAATTGAGGGTTAAATTAAAACCAACATTTCATTAAATTCACTTGGTATTGTTTGTTTGAATTTTCCCCATCGCATAAGCAAGTGGCTGTCAGGACTCAGTAACTGAGTGAGTAACGTTATGGCGTTTGAAGCAAAAGTTACTGGGTTCGAGTCCCAGAATGAACATCAACTCTGTGATGCAGGTAAATCCAGCTGACGAGTCCCAAATAGGACGAAAACGCGCATCCTGTATTTCACTGCTAGCCACTATCCATCTTTGCTTATATCCTTATATTGCTTCATAAACTGCTTTAGAACAGTTCATGTCATATTCATAAAACTGCTATATTCATCTATAGAAATTTTATGCAACGTGACTAAATATTTCTTTCACTGGAATAAAATTAAGATTTTGCTTATATAAATAGAGAAATTTCACTTTCCATATTTATTGTTTTAGGGTCAAGGAATTTTCGTTATCCTTTCTATCGATTTGTTTCAGTACAGTTATTAAGCTAATAAATATAACCCTACTTCTTCGAGTTCATTCCCATTATAAGCGAATTTTAATGTTTTACAATAAAACAAGCTTTAAAGAATGAAGTGTTATTGTATTGCTTATTCATGATTGAGTTTTATCGGTTATGTTATGCAATTAAAATTTCAAAATGTAAGGATTTTTATAGTTTATTTAAATGACCAGCTTATAATGACTAAAAATTCAGCTAGAATGAACTTGAATTATTGTATAGATTTAATAATCAAGTTATATTATACAGTTGAAATCATGAGTTAATTAAAGCTAAACCTGGAAACACTGGACAGCCGTTTTGTTCTATTGTGTGACTCTTCAGCAATGCGCATCCATGATCCCGCCATGCGAGATTCGAACTCAGCAGCTATCAGTCTCGCGCGCAAGCGCTTCAATTGACTCATGATTTCAAAAAATATAAAATTACTAAAATCTCCACAAAACCCTCTTCTGATAATCAAGTATTAATTAATGTACATAATAAGCCAAACTTTTTATATGACTGATATTAGTACTTCTTACTCGAAGACTTGACGTCATCTTTCAATTTGAACGATTTGTTTCAAGTGAAAGTTAAATACCATTTATTATGAAGTTCATACTTAAAATTTAATTTTTCAGTATGGGAAATTTGAATTATCTAATAAAACAGTTTGGAACTCTAACGATAATTATGTTTAGATTCCATTTCTGGATTATCCTTAACACGCAATAAACTAATCCTCTTCAAAGACAAACAGAAATCTAACAGCTCAACAGTAAATATTTCAACTATGAAGCTGAATAATTGCTGAAGTCAACATTCTTTATCATAAATCTCAATGTGAAAATTAACACTAATGTAGAATTATATTTAAACTGCAGGATTTAATAAAATGTCGGAAGCGGTTTTGTGGATATTATAGTAATTTCAATATTTAAGATCATGAATCAATTAAAGTTAGACCACCATGGAAAACCTGAAAGTACTGGATGGCTGTTTCGTCTTATTGTGGGACTCCTCAACAGTGTGCATCCACGATCGTGACTCGCAAGATTCGAGCACAGGACTTATCAGTCTCGCGCGTAACCGCTTAACCTCTAGAACCACTGAGTAGGCATCCAAATTAGATTTAGTCACATGTATACTTTAATAAAATATTTGCTATTAATCAATCACTTACTGTTTGTCGTTTGAAAAAGAAAACTAATAATAATACAAACCTTTTAATGTAAAAACAATCAGTCCGATCAACTCTTTCGAAAGAATAAACCAAATAAAAAAGTAATCATTATTCAATTAGTAACAACTAGAGTTTACTAAAGTTTATCTAAGGTCATTTCAATATGTCAACAATTATCAAATAGAAAACTTTTATTTATTTGTATATTTTTCAACAAAAAAAGAAAAAAAAAGAAACACTTAGCTACAGTGGTTTGTTTCGCAAATCAATGACCTTGACATCTATGCATCGTTTCAATATTCAATTTGATTTATGCACAAATTGTCAATAAATCACTTACAATTTAATTAAGTAATATATGTCTGTTTTTTTTTTAAATATCTTTGAAACTACTTTATGTGAAAACTAATTCATCTAGTCAAAAGCAAATAGGTTTTCAGTACAATTAAGGGTATCTATAGGTGGTATTCCATAATAAGAAGTGGTTATTAATCTCTATATGATTCTCATCACAACCTAATATAAGTTTTTATTCTGTAAGAAGAATTTCTAATTAGTAACAAGTTAGATTGAGGCACTTTCATAATGCTTGCTAACTTAGTATAATATCCTGTTTTATGATAAACTTTGTATGAAACTTTTTTTACATTAATCGAAAGGTGAGATAACACAAACTCTTTTGAATAGAGATAACACCCACTTAAAACTGTTAGTATCTTTCTGGAGATTGATAGGTAATGCGTTGTTGTTTTGAGATGGAAGATTTGAATATTGTTCTGTTTTTGTATATACTTTACTGATGATGATGTGTATATAATCGGATGTAATGAATCTTACAGTCATGTAATTTGTTTTCTAGATGGATTTTCATTTTATTTTCTTCACAGTTATGCTTTTCAGTGTAGATAAAATAAGACAAACTCACTGTTGGCTTGTAGACAAGGCTGATATCGTAGAGTTTTAAATATGATAGCATGATCTGTTTTCAGATTTCCAGGTAACAGTGAACTGGAAGAGGGATGTTGGTTTGAAATTACTCCGGTGATAAAATTGTAAATTTTAGTTCAAAATATTGATATCCTCTGAAAACCTGACATTAGTAAGTCAATGAATTTCTGGAGAAAATGTTAATGAGATCTTGAATAGTATTGAGAACGTTTTTAGGGTAACTTTTCAGCAAATGTCTTGACTAGCTATTCTAATGAATATTTACTGAAAATTGATAAATCAAGTAGGATTTATTATCAGTAAAAGGTTTTAGATATTGTTAACCGAAATAATATCATGAATGGATCAATTTTAGACCAACATGGAAAACTTGAAAGCACTGGACGGCTGTTTCGTCCTAGTATGGGACTTCAATGATGATCTAACACTGATCCATTCATGATGTCACTCTAAGAGGACTTATTGATTAAAAAGAAGTGTACTCAAAGTGAACTTCTCATCCATGAATTATTTATTAGGGTTGTACGTGAATATGTTCATCAATCCCTCACTAGTTTTTGGTGCGAAATCGTAGAAAACTAAGAAACCATTATCTCAAATGAACTGCCATAATGAGGCCACCACTAGATTTCGATATTATTATCAAAAATCATAGTGATCGCTAAGATATTCGAAATTCGTAGATTCACGATTTCGTGCGGTAGTTATTGGGACCAATTCAAGAATCTTTTGCAGAAATGAAACAACTATTCAGGATTTACTGAATGTCGAAAGTTTTCGGATGCTGTAAGTTGACAATCAACATCTTACAGTTTGTTACCAAAAATTGATAATTTTATAAGCAAATTTCACTACTAATAAGTAGTATAAATTCAAAAATAAAAACTTATGTGTTTTATGGTATCTGCATTCTTTTCAATGAAGTGGGTTGTGAGTGAAACACAGATTTTTCGACTTTATACTCTGAGCCTGTATGAAAGAAGTTCTGTGAGCTTCGTCTTCGAATTCTTACCGATATAAAGTAAAATGAAGTTTTTTGACAAAACAATTCAGCGAACAAAAACATATGTTATTCGGGAGATTACTGAATTTGAAATTCACATAACGGACTTACCTAGGTTAGAAAACCGATGTAAACTAAGAACCAATGAACAAGTGTCAAATCTTAATCTTCATTCCACTAAGACCTAAAATTTCGCAGCGAGACCTAATAGTTCTGGG